GGAGATTCAAGAACAAAGGAAAAGATGGGCAGAATACTTCGAGGAACTGCTGAACAGCTTAGTCCCACTGAATCCACCGGACATCGAATCAACACACACCGACCTTCCTATATCTGTCGCTCCACCAACGATTGAAGAAATCAGGATGACCATCAGACAAACCAAAAGTGGGAAAGCGGCAGGACCTGACACTATACCAGCTGAACCACTGAAGTCAGACATTGAAGTAACTGTAAACATGCTTCACTTTCTATTTAAGAAGATTTGGGAAGAAGAACAAGTGCCAACGGATTGGAAAGAAGAATACCTCATCAAGATACCAACGAAAGGTCTGAGCAAATGTGAGAGCTACAGAGGCATCAGTTTGCTGTCAGTACCAGGAAAAGTTTTCAGCAGAGTGTTGTTGAACGGAATGAAAGACGCAGTGGATGCCCAACTTCGAGATCAACAGCCTGGATTCCGTAACGATCAGTCGTGCACAGACCGAATTGTGACACTACGGGTCGTCGTTGAACAATCAGTTGAATGGATTTCGTCACTATACATCAACTTTCGTGACTATTCCTTGCCCGGTTCAGTGTCTTGTTTGGAGTGGTTAACCCATTATTGTAAGTCTCCTCCGATTGCTGAGTCGGATGCGTCCACTACGATGCTAATGAGTGCTTGGGTATCCTGGTGTGCAAGCATGATTGCTTTCACGATAAGTTCCTTAATTATGGTGAGTGATTTTCTCGCGCTATCGTCCAAACTGATGGATTTCTCATTTCCACGAAGTTCGTCGGTTATAATTTCTTATAAGGGACGAGCAATTTGGTACGAACCGTCCATGGAAACTTTCAGGGCCGTTAAACGTGCGCAACTGCTTAATCGTGATCGGTTCTGGGTAATCCAGAACGGCCGCCACTTTGCTCCTCGGAGGTGGGATATCAACATACGACTGCAATCAACATACGCATGTAAGAAGCTGAGACCTCGGAAAACGTTATCTATATACCTTCGGAAAGCCTGGGCAGCATTTCTTGTGCCGAAAGGAATTCGCGAAAATTCCAAGAGTTCGAAGGGAGTTATGAAAGCGGTTATTGAAATATCACCAGTAGGCATAGGGATTTGGTCATAGGTTTTAACCAAGTCGACCTTCGAAAAGATAACTGCACCTTTCTAGGTAGCTGTCAAATTGTGAATGTGAGGTAACGGGTGACGATGACGTGTAAGTGTATGACATAATTCAGTAATGTCACTTTGGGCCGTTTGAGGTTTTTTATTGACTGAAAAAACTTCCGCGTCAGAAGATTTCGTGTTTTCTATGATGCGGTTGGCAGATTCAGCCAGTTCGTCAATGCCGTTATTTTGAATCGAGTCCAGCATAGCTTGCACCTGATGAGGAAGTTTGTATGAGGAAATTTGTTTGGATAGGCTATCATCGAGAGTTCTTTGGCCGATAAGCTCTCCCATTCTTAGAGACTTGTCTGTCACGGAGCCATGTTTCAGGTCGATATTGCTAAGGAGCTGGTCTAACCTTTGTCGACCGGTTAGATCTCCGTGTTTAAGGATAGATCACCGAAGTTTTTCGTAAGGTTCTGAAACATCGCTGGTGAACATACTAAGTGTGACGTACCTGTTGAATTCGTGCCGTAGTGCCCTGATTACTGGACATATGTTGTTCCGGTCGTGCTCGTAGAAGTCGGCCTCTACGTAGCCAAAAAAGTATTAGTCGAAACGAAGGTGGAAGTCTTTAACTTCAATACCCTAGGTGCCTGTTCCGTCATGGTGAAAAATCAAGTTCAAATGGTTCACAAGGTTGTGGACGGAATAGAAGAAACTTTTGCTTAACGGGCGTCCGTGTCTAGTAGCAGTGGATCATCAATACCTCGAGGCAGAAATCTACGTATATTATCAATAATTGGGGGAGAAAATGAAACTGGTAAATCATGATAGGATGTTGCCCTTAGTCCTTAAGAATAGGTCAAGTTTCCTCGTAAAGGATTCTTGGGAAGTCTCTTGAACTAACTCAGTCGGCGGCGAATTCCAGTGTTTGATAACTCTTGAGGAGTAAAAGTTTTGACCACAATCCGTTCTGCTACTTTGGGTCTCCAGTTTCTGGGTTTTACCCCTAAGGTTTGTATTGGGACTAATCCTATGTAAGTGTTTAAGGGGATATTCGGAAGTTTTAAGGATATTGTAAGCCACCAGAAGGTCATCTCCAAGACACCTATACTCGAATGGGTAAAGGTTAAGTGATTGGGGGCGCTCTTCATAAGGGGTGAATTTGAGCCCCCGTCATGGCTCGCCGTTGGATACGTTCTAGAGTGTCCTTATCATTTTGGAGTGAGGAAGGAAATACTATGTTTCCGTACTCTAAATGGGGGTGAATGAAACTGTTGAAGATTATGTGAAGAGTTCTTCCATCAAACTGGCCAAAAATGATCTTCAATGTTACCAGTGCAAGGTTTGCTCGGAAGGCAATTTTGTCACAGCGTACGACTTTAAGTAGAAGGGTACAAGCACTCCCAAATCTTTTTCAAATTAAGATATTTCTAAACAGGAGTTTCTTCAGCTGTAACTGTAGTCTTGGACACGTCGCAGATGGACTGCTTTACATTTTGAAGTGTTGAAGGTAAGTCCATTGTCGTCTGCTCAACTCTGAAGTCAATCCTCTTGATTGCGTATCTCTCTCCAAGGTTTCATTTCATTAGCAAAGATTAATAAGTCAGACGATACGAGTTGTGAAAGGTCGTTTATATGAATCAAGAATAGGAGAGGTCCTAGTCATGGGCTTTGGGAGACCCAATCAAGACATCCCATAACCTGAGAGAAAGTGAAGTTAACCCCGACCCAAAAATATCGATTTTTAGATACGACGTGAACCAGAGAGATGCTTGAATACCCAATCGTTTACGCTTACTGATAAGACATATATGGTTGACCTTATCAAAAGCTTTTGAGAAATCGAGGTAAATGACGTCAACCTTCTCCTTTTGATCAAGGATGGTTGTCCATATATCCATCGCAGTCAGCAGGTTGGTTATACAAGAGTGACCCTTCCTGAAACCATGCTGTTGAAGTGATAAGAACCTTAAGGTAAATAAGTAGTCGTGCATATCATCGCATATCGGGGACTCCATAATTTCAGAAGGTATATAGAGAAGGGCCACCGCTCGATAGCTTGAGGGGTCACTGCGTCAGGTTCACTTCGGGAAGTCCTGTGCAGTTGCAGATGAAGCTTTCATCAGCTTAATTGATGTGAGTCGGTTGAAATGTCCGAGAGTATTGTTCAGCCGAAAGATAAGCGGCATCACCGTCGTTATTGGTCGGACCATTAGGACTTATCAGTTAGGAAACTCCAGTTTTGGCTTGTTTAAGAGGAGCTGCGTAACGACATAAACTTTTCGGGTCCCAGATAAATTTATTGATAAGCTTTTTCTGGTACTGAAGCCTATCCTCTCTTATTGCTTTTGTCCATATGTTCCTTATATGTTTGTATTGCCTGTATGCGCCGTTGTTATCGATTCGTTTGTATCCAGCCCATCAGTGCTTTCTGCGGCTTAGCAAAGAAAGAATGCGGTTCATGATGATTGTAGGTTGCTTGGGGCTTTTGGGGACCGTTGGAGGAACTAAATGTTTGGTAGCACATAAGAGCGTGTGCACTAAGAAATCCCAATGAGCATCCACTTCAAGTTGAGGGTGAACATCACAATCCACATGTTGTAGATAGTCCTCTAAAGCTGACGCATTTGATCGTCTGAAATTCCAGCGCCTGTTGTTGGTGGGATATCTTAGCTCAGCCTCGTTGACAAAACTGAAGGATATAATGGCGTGATCGCTTTGCCCCAAGAGAGGCAGAATTGGGAGGTTGTCGACTAGGAATTCTTCGTTTGTAAATACCCAGTCTAAGCGTCTGACTGTTTCTCTGACGAATTGCCGACTACACGTTTTTGAATAATCCCAGATCATCAATGAGGTTGAAGAACCGAGCTTCAGTAGAGTTGTCACCTCCAGTGTAAGTATGCTCCGCAAAGTTGATTCTAGGAAGATTGAAGTCCCCTAGAATCCGAGACGCATAGAGCGGGTCAATCCTCCCAGCATACGATTGTCGTACTCGATATCAGCAGTGGGCTTCTTGTAGATGACCCCAACTAGACACCGCGAGGTGGTAGACAATCTTACTGAGAACCATACTGATTCATCAAGATTGAGAAACTCTTGGTTGTGGATTTGGCGAACCTCCATGCATGACCATATGCATAAGGCTACTCCACCCCCTATTCCTGTTTTTCTGTCGTTGTGAAACAAAGGTATCCTAGGTAATACTAGATCCTGGTCCGTAAACTGAGAAGATATCCAAGTTCCAGTCATTCCTATCATATGGTCATTATTAGTATTGCTAAGTTTACGTAGCTCATCCGTTTTATTTGGTAAACTCGCGGGGTTCATGTATAAGCAGTTTATGCATTTGATTAGAAACGCGTGCGTTTCTTTCTGTTTGTCTGTATGAGCCTTACATAAATGGACAGGTTGCCTGCCAATACAAGGTTTTTCGAGTTGGTAGTTCCTGTACTTTACACGTTTTTATGATCAAGACAGTCCACAAGTGTAATTGTCAGCTCCAACTTGTCTTTGTGCTTGATCCTGGTGTCGTGTAGCCTATCCGGATGCCTATGGATTCCAGTTGGAAACCGCCGTCTGTCAGCACGAAATGCTTCCTCAGTTGCAGCCGCCATATGGGAGGATGGGAAAGTTATCATCATTAGCCTGTGTTTAGAATCTCCGTCCTTCTTGCCTAGTCTCGTCACATGTTGAGTCAGTATATTTTTGAGTTTCAAGGAATACTTGACATGTTGGCCAAGAGATAACAAAATAAAAAATTTTCACTATCCCGTCTGCTGATTATTCTAAAATATTTCTGCAAAGTTATAGATCTGGAAATTTTGCTTTATATAAACAATTCCCCTGACGAACACACCAATAATCTAAGAACTACTTGACCTTCAAGTTCAACTACCTCCATGAGTTTTTGCGGTAACAACAACAAGTGGTTGCAATATCATAGTCTTCAAGTCCCCATATAGTTACAATCTTTTGTGTATATAGTAGCATCTAAACAGCTCACTCGAAATGATCGATGACAATTCAATTTTGGAAAAGTTTGTATTAGAGGTACGGTTAATTATTGTTTCTTTATTGGTCGTTACATAGAACGATTGTAACTTTGCTATTGACAATGTTGATTTTAAAACGAAGGAGGTAACTAGTAAATTTCTATTAACATCTTTAGGACATATTGGAAGAATGCCGTAAACAGTTTAAGAACTATACAGTTTCTGGACTACATACTTGTCTTTGCTGTTTGCGAATATTGACACGCGACAATATCCTGCGGAAAGAATTGACATCCGAGTTTTTCTTGTCCCAAATCTTCAAATATGCCTTTGAATATAATTGCAACCATGAGTATTCTAAAACTAGTCTAGAAGCTCTAAAATCTCTTTCCAATATTTTGTTTAAAGAGTCATGTGTCATAGAACCACTTAAGTCAGTCGTACTTCTGTATTTTAACTGTTTAGGGCCATGGGTCTCATTAAGAGTGTTATGGAAAGTGTGGATATCCTCATCGAAACTGAGAATAATGAGAGGCTCCTGCTATGTCTTAAGCTTCTTTTTCTTGTTACCGCTCTGAATTCGGCTTCAAGGTAGTGCTATATTTTAATCACGTAGAATTCAGACAAGAATTAATCAAATCCAACGCTCTGCAGATGCTCATGAAAATCGTGAAGATGAAAAGTTCGAAGATAACCGATTTGAATGTTTCAGCAGAAGCACTTAAGGTTGTATATAATATACTCTACTCAATTAGAGACGAAGATGTTACTAAAGAGGTTTCAAAATATTTTGTTAATTAATATGTTAGTTAGGTGACGACATCCAAAATCTCGTAGTAATGTTGAGATGCATTTTACAAGATCCAATGTTGAATGAATTCATTAGTTATGCTTTGGTCAGGTAAGTAATTACGTATTTTACACACGTGGGCATTAACAGTTAAACGTAAACAGTTTCGATGCTTATTTTAACTGGTAGTTTTCGTCAGATAAGTTTGGAACTTCAAATGTCGAATGAGCTATTAGTTAGTTGGAATACTTATTTTTGTAATGTTCTTGTAACCTTCATTTCTAAACACTAGATGACATGCAAGCTATCTCTTACGTCCTTAGTGATGCGAGCAAAATGTTTTCCATATTAGACACATCCACATTTTCTCATCTGAATATTAGTATAGAAGATGGTGTGGTGTGTTATGTTTGTCGTTCATTTTACTTATCTGTCAAACAGGGGACAACTGCATACTTTTATCATGCATATGGAAACCAATACCGATAAGCAACCGCAATTATAGTGAGCTTTTAAAATATGTGTCTTACCTTCAGGGTTCCACAGTTATTTTTTGGCCTAAGTTACGTTTGCTCTCGTCCTTAACACTAAGAATAGACTTAAGTAATAGCTTTTCCTCAGATAACTGTACTGGTTCTAATAGACACAAAATAAAAATACTCTTCAGGTAAACGTTACAACCCATAAACTGTCATATAAAACAAGGACATCAGTTCACCTCGAGAATATTGTTGATAAATCTTTCGTTGAAACTAATACGATATGATTATCGAGATTTCAACACTAGAAAGCTGTCGAAAATTTATTGTAACTGCGCAGAATTATTAAATTTCTTTTGATACAACTGCAATCTGTTTCGGTTTGGTCTTTTTAGCAACAATGTTTCTGAAAAAAACCGATTTCTTATATTGGACCTCCTTCAGTATATTTTTCTGATCTGTAATCAAATCGGTATCACCATCTTGAAATACAAACTGAGGCGGTCTGGACTAGATGAAAAGATCAGAGAGGGGTCAGTTTATGACAGCGTGACATAAAGGATATTTGTATAGTAATAAAATTTTGCGATTCTTTACGGTTCCCTCCATTGAGGGTCCTAAAGATTGTCTAGCAGTGGTTGGAGTTGTCATCAGATATAGCTCAAAAAAAGCCGCCTGGGGCCCTGGCATAGTTTTGTTACACTTCATTAAGATAAAATAAGCTCTTACTGAAGGAATCTTGGCTGACTCGTGCCATTTATTAAATACTATCCCTATTGATTCTACTACTCTTTGTCTCTACAATATTATCGCTTCATTTATGTGGCTCATTTTCTAGTGACCTATTGTGCCAGAATTTAGGTGCTTATAATGAAAAAGAATTTACTCCTAGGATGGTAAGATTATTGCCTTACATAAAGCTTGCTTTTTAAAGACTGGCATTTCACATCAAACTATAAAAGTGTGGTTTCTTGTACGGCATCTCTATAACCATTATTAACCACAGGTATAAATCAAGTTATTTTGATATTCATTGAGTAAAAAGTCTTATCACTGAATTAAAACATTTTAATTTTGTTTCTCTTCACATAACCGACCAGGATAAGACCATCCAAGTGTCGAGTTATGACTAATAAATGCTATTGGTTCTTATGTTGTTGTTATCCTCTTTCTTCCAGCCAGGTGGTTAACGTATTAAACATCATTCCGAAACATTTATACAAACACCTTTTGGATGGAAATTTTAGTGATCATGCCACTGATAATTTAATCAAAGATTCGGCTCCAGAAAACAAAACAAATGGGATATCTTCAATTGAAATTTTGATAGACTTTCTTCACTCACAGCTTAAGTTGGTACGTCTTCTTCCATACACTTTTTCTTAAAATGTCCCTTTATAGTTATTTAGTTGATTTCTTAAGGTAGTATGTATCTACAAGTCTCGATAATTTAAAAGAACATCTTTTAAAATTGATTATGTCAGTCTCTTATATTAGTATATAAATGACAAGTGCTGCAAAGTAAATTACTTTCAAAAGTAAAGGATTACTATAATAGTCGTATTGTCTCACATAAACTAAATAATTTATTCACACTTAGTATAACATTTCCAGTTCCTTGTAATTACTTTCTAGGATGCTGGTAAAGAATCCGAAACTGCTAGTGATATACGAACTGATGAAAGAATTTGTCCTATTTTGAACTGTCTTACAAGAGCAAGTAAATCAAATCGTCGGATCAGAAAATTTTGTCGCTTAAAGGTGAGTTAAAATTTGAGCCAATGTGATGAATAGACAACCGTTAATTATTTTTAACTTCCTTGATATGCGTTCTTTAAATAAACAATCTGAACAATAGTATTTTTTTAGTTCACTGTACCTTAAATACTATTACGTTAATGGAAATAGTTGTATTAACCGAATTATAACAATAAATGCGAGTTATAAACTACTGTTTACTAAGTTATGTTCCTTCTAACAACCATAAATTCTTTATTTATGTACTTAGATTTCACAATGAACTACTGTTGATAACTATTAAATGAACCTCATATGTATGCAACCAAATACGTTGGATTATTTTCATCGGTTAAATCGTACATTGATTGTGTGACTCCTTTGACTGTACATTGAAAATGGTTGAAGTTCATTTGAATATATGAGTCCTGACAAGTGCTTTAATAAGTAAAGTGATTCTCAGTTGTTTTCTCCATTAGTGACCACCAGGGATGTTTAGATGGTGGCACACCACTTCATCTATAATTCCCTAATATCGTATGAAATGACACTTAAAGTTGGCGTTGGACAAATGAAATTACGAACACAACGTTTGAAAGAATGGATCATTTTGTTGAGACATCAAATTACCGTTCACGTTACTTTCATAAATTTGAGTTTGTCGCATTGAAAGTTAATATAAAATTTCTTAGTTAACATCTGTAAACAGTCTTCTGTAAGTCTTTCGGTAATTCAGAACCTCTGACAAATATGCACGAATCATTGTCGGCATTTAGTTCAAACAAGTTGCAAAATTCGTATTTGGAAAATAAATGGCCCAGACTTTTGAATAACAGACGTTATCTTATTTCAGTTTTCTATATACATTGAAATTAAGTGTAATCAATCTCACTAAATTTATAAAATCCACTTTCATCTTTTTCATTTAGGTACTACCTTACCTGGGTAAAGATGTTAAACGCCTACCAGAAGATGGCGATAGTATAAGAAATTAGTAAGTATCAAAATGCTTTATTTGTTCCGAACTTGACGTTGTGTTAGGCTACCTGACGGCCATTATTATTTGCACCAGTATTTTAGAAATTTCATCTTTCAAAGCTTTATGACTATAAAATGAAATATTTAGCGTTTATTTTGGTCCGAATTTCTTTAGTGATTACTCTCCGTACGTTTTTATCTGGACATTACCGTGTAGGTTTTTACAAAATAAGAGTGGTATTGATTAGCACGTACACACATACAGAAATGAGTACCGCGTGATAATGCTGAGGAATATGTTAATTATAAACTCAGTTATGTGTATGAAAGCAAATTTTATCCAACAACGCTTTTTGTAGCTGCGCATTGTTTACGGAATGCGCGACATATTTAGCTGCTAATCTCACAATTTAGGTAGACAGAACCAATTCATTACCTTCCTAGCTGTAGATCAACAAATTAAGTAGACTGAATTCATTCCAAATTGTGTCAATACGTACGAGCTTATAACACAGTACTATTGATTAAATAAGTAAGTTCATGGAGATGTACTAGGTTTGAAAAACGAAGTGATATGGTTTGCTGCTATATTTAAAAAACTTATTAATGAGGTTGGATGCTACACCAAATAATGCTGAGGTTTACTTCATTTGAGATTATCGATATTAAATTACGTCTTCTAACAAAAAAGCGAACATATTTCAGAAGTGTATTTGCCTCTTGTCAGATTTCTACTCATATATGACAAATAGCAGACTACTCTGAGTGACAACGCTGAAGCCTGCCCTCAAGATATATGTAATAGAAATACATACCGTATGAAAATACGTTCAGAGTCGGTTACTTCATTCCCATGCACTAAAATACTGGTGGTTTGGTAAACTTTTCCATAAATCAAAATCGATGATCAGTTAGATTCTAGATTTATTTTTAATTTAACGTATTCGAAGACAGCCAGTGAGCCCAAGTTTTACTTTTTTTAGCCTTTGTAAACTGCTAACACATCCAGTTCAAATTGTCGGTGAATCAGCAGCCTTATTTATCTTTGTACTGTGCAAGGAAAACAGTAAGTAGTATTATTTTCTGGAGCTTTTGGCGTTTTCACTTCAATAAATTATTATTCACTATATATCCTGTAACATCCCTAACTAGCTATATGATATATGCATTCGAATGGTTATGTTCTAATTTTCAATGTAGATAACTCTAGAACGGATTTTTGACACAAAGTAGAAAATGTTTAAAGCAAACCATAAAAGCTGTTTCACTGCTTTGCCGCTGCGGTATAAAAGAATAGATTACAATAAACAAGTATATTGCTAATGAAATTGGGATTTTATTCGAAGTTTAGTTGAAAATAGTTTTATTCAGTTATGAATTAAGCAAGTTTACATAATAGTCATGTCGATTTTGGGATTTTTCGCATTACTGATTTACGCCTCTGTTACCCCATGTGGAAAAGCATAAGCCGCCCACCAGCATTCTCCATCCAACTCTGTTCTAGACAAACCTCCCAATTGCTATTGATCCTTATCATGTCTGCTTCTATTTCCCGACGTAATGTCTTCTTTGGCCCTCTTCTTCTCCGTTTCCCCTCACCATTCCAAATTAGCGTTTACTTCGTGATACAGTTCGATGATTTCCGCAGTTTATGTCCTACATCAAGGATGCTACCCAGACACTTAAAAGTTTCCACTTCTTTCAGAGTTTCTCCAAGTGTGATTGATTGGTGTTCTCGGTGTTGTGTTTGAGGATCTTGCTCTTTCCCTTTATGTATGTTAAGGCCTACTGATGCAGAGACTGTTGTTACACTGTTTGTCCTCACCTGCATTTGTTGGTGTGCATGGAATGGAACATCTAAGTCATCTGCAAAGTCCACATCGCCTACTTGCATCCAACCTGTACATTGTATTCCATGCTTCCCCTCAGATGTCGAAGTCTTCATAATCTAGTCAACTACAAGAATGAGAAAGAGTAGGCAGCCTTATCTGACTCCGGTCCTCACTTGCAATGCATCTGTCAGCTATCCTCTATGCACCACTTTGCACTGAAGTCCATTGTGTGAATTCTGGATGATGTTGAAAATCTTCTTAGGTACATCATAGTGTCGAACAAGTTTCCATAAGGTACGCTTTCCTATCCACACTGACAGACGCCTTCTCATAGTCAAGGAAGTTGATGTATAGTGAAGAATTTCATTCGATTGATTGTTCAACGATGATCCATAGTGTCGCAATTCGGTCTGTGAACGATAGACCCTCACGGAACTCAGTCTGTTGGTCTAGAAGTTGGGCGTCTGCTGAATGCTTCATCCGGTTCTGCAACACTCCGTTGAGAATGTACTGACATTAGTGTAATGTCTCTGTAGTTCTCACGTTTGCTCAGATTTTCTTTCTTTGGTATCTTGATGAGATATTTTTCTTCCCAGTCTGTCCGCATCTGTTCTTCCTCCTAAATCTTCCTAAACAGAACGTAAGGCATACTCGCAGTTACTTCTATGTTTGACTTCAGTGCTTCAGCTGGTATATTTCTAGGTCCTTCTGCGTTCTCACCCTTGATTTGTCTGATGGCTTGTCATCCTGATCTCTTCAATCGTTGGTGGAGAGACATCTTTAGGAAGGTCTGTGTGTGTGTTGCTTCGATGTCCGGTGGATTCAGTAGAGTTGGCCTATTCAAGAGTTCGTCGAAGTGTTCCACTCATCTGTTCCTCTGTCCTCGAATCTCAGTGATAGTCTTTCCTATTTTGTCCTTGACTGGTTTCTATGGTCTATTATATCCCACTGCTAGTTTCTCCGTTGTGTCATATAGCTGTTTCATGTTTCCTTCTCTTTCAGCCTTTTTCCGCCGTCGTAGCTAGTTTTCCCATGTATTTCTGCTTGTCAGCTTTAGTGATCTTCTTCACTCGCTTGTGCCTTTACTTTCTCTGCTCGTGTTCGACTGTTGTTAATTGCAGTCTTCTTGCTTTTCCTTTCTTGTATCTTGTCCAGGGTTCCCATAGAGATCCATTCCTTGTGATGATGCTTGTTGTGGCCCAGAACCTGCTGACATGTTAAGGTTAGTGCTTCTTTGATCTCCTCCCAGTTTTCCTCCATAGTAATTTCCTCTTCTTTCAGTAGATCCTGTTAGGATTGAAACCTGTTGTTGAGTCATCATGAATTCGTTGAGTTTGTTTGTATCTGAAAGGAAGACCGTACTGAACCTTTGTAATGCTGTAAGCAGGCTTATCTGACTTCGGTCGTCACTTGGAATGCATCTGTCATCTATCCTCCATGCACCACTTTGTACTGTAGTCTTTCGTATGAATAAAAAAATAATTGTAACCAGGGAAAGTAAAGCAGATCAGCGGAGGAAATCCTAATCATGTTTTTACTATCTGTAAAAGAGTAGGTGGATAATTGTAAGATTAAAATTTTTTTCCAGCTGAACAAGATTAATCTTACTTTAGAAATAGAAGTACACTCTGAACTATTGAGAAAAAAGGGATATTTCCACTGCAACTGTTTATCCCATCTGTTATATTGTCTTTCTTCGGTGCTGTGCTTGAAACGGATTTTTCCTCATTTTATCGATCAATATATTTAATTAGTTTATACCAAGAATTTCTGGGATTAATTATGAATACTGCTTAACTTATTTAGTTGGACGAGCAGTGAAATACACGGGCTTTGGGAATTTCGCTGGATTTTTAGCACGTCATGCTTTACTTGGGAAACCATCAAAGGTTAATAGAGAATTTAATTGTAACGTCGAGTCAGATGAATATTCGGCTACGTCGACGGAATCAGAAACGGAAGAATATAAAAGGTTGAAGGAAGATGTAAACCCTGTAACAGGTCGATGGGAAATCCCACAACCGAATCCGATGGAAAACATGTCTGAAGAACAAAAGGAATATCTTGCTATGGACTTAGTACAGAAAATCGACAAACTTGAGAGGTGAGTTATTGTAGAAGTGATGAGTCAAATCAAGATAAACCTTTTGAAATAACTTATAAACTCGTAGTTTTAAAAACTAAAGACCTTTTTTCGATTAGTTTATATCCTAAAATATTGATCCCACTTTCAGATCTGGATTGATTCAACCAGGAACCATCGGTGAAGATGGCCGAGTGAGGCCTGTACAACATATACTTGAACTCATTCAGACAAAAGAAGAGGACCAAAAGTCAAACGAATCTGTAAACTAGGAAAACATACTTTGAATAGCTTTTGTGTGTTTGTAATAACGTTAGTGTATCAAAAATCGAATTCTATTTTTGACATCCACCAACCAAACAAGTGAATAATATAAGCCGTTGTCCATTTGATTAATTTTTGAAATGCGTTGATAACAATCGTTGAATGCAAAAAATCAAAATGTTAATTTTACAAGTGTGTTTTATCTTGATTCTTTTTACATTATAAAAACAGTTAGAAAGTTAGAATGTAAAGACGTAAAAAGTGCATTGTTTTAAAAAAGTTACAACCTGGAGGTGGTCAGTTTACAACTTGCTTACACAACCCCTAAAGACAACTTAATTTCTGCAACTGCACGAAGTTCCTTCAATCGATAGTCTGCTGGCAAGCCTAATTTAGTCATACAGACAAGTTGGTGCTCTAGATAGTTTAACGTTCCTTGTTCCTGATTTTTGATCATTTCATTTGTCGATGAATTTTGTTCATCGTTCATGTTTTCCAAACAGCTAGCTGCAAGAAAGGCAGAAGTTAAATGTATGCAAACGGCAGCCATTTCTGTGCGTACAACTCTAAAATAGTAAAAAAAGAGAAAATATTTAAAACCACAGGTTCCATCTACTGAACAAGAGAAACTGAGCAATCATATCATTTTCCTTACTGGAAGAGAAAAGGTCTTTAGCACTTAGTGCTTGTCAGATATGAAACTCAATTAATAATTCAATAATCACGTTATGAACATGACCTATTCTATTTGACAAAAAATGAACGTAGCTAAGAAATGAACTATGGGGGGGGGGAGACATTTACTCGATGCAAGAATACTTAATCGCTTCAAGTGGTTAATAACATATAGTAATAATGTATTGATTCGTTGTTGCGTTTACAAAAACAGTTGTGAGAAGAATAGCTTTTAATGGTATCATATGTTTCATCAACCACAAATTATTGTGAGTCGGATTATACGCGCAGTAATTGTTACCATCATTGTTCATCACTGTAAAAATACAAACGAGGTGTTTATCTATCTCCTTGATTTTCCTTGAAATAGTATAAAGGTATCAAATCGAGACATCAGTAGGCTTTTAATTCCCTACAATTGATAGATCAATAAGTGCGAACCACAAACAGAAGCCAATTTCGCTGCTTATAGACTAAACCAGGTAATTAGAGCAAAACTGAATCGCATCCAGTCAAGTATGAATGGCCATCTCTTCGACGTGACTTGATATGATTAAGTCCTAGGTTAGGTAGCACTATATATAAAATCGCCCCCAAATGCCCTGGTACGGCCGAAAGTGGGGAGAGTCGACTCCCTCTCGAAATGCTCTCACATGGCCACACGAATATATAGCCTCTCCCAGGGAAATCCTACTCACTGCCTTCTAGTGGCATTACTGTTGTTTACGAAATTGAGAGGACGAAAAGCGAATGTCCGGCGCTTTAACCGGGTTGGTGGACACGGAAAGTTCACCTAGGGGAGTTGGAAAACCCTAATTCCAAACCAATGGTGCACATGAGCTCCAGTATCCTGAAGGAACAAATGGCGTATGAACCAATTGTTGGTCACTGGCTACCATGGGACTGCATCTCCATAAGATGCTCCACTGCCTTGTGGATCAGACCTTTAGGTCAAAAGCTCGGGGTGTGGCCCCCTGAGATGACCACCCGCGTCGGTCTGGGCATCCGGGCAGTATCACAGCTTTCACACAAATCGAATGAGATTTGTGCGGCGCATATTTATCTGGTGCTTCCTTGTACCAATATTTATGTGTTGAAATAAATAAATAAAATATATAAAATCATTTATCAATCGTGCTATTTATGCAGAACCATATAACTACTCGAAGGTTTTCGAGTCGGTAAGGATAAGAAAATCAAAGTACCAACAAGCAGATGCTGAAGTAATTTCAGAGAAACGATGTCTCTCAGATTTTACCACACTAATCACAACATACATCATTACAGTGACAGATCATAGCCTTGAGTTTATATGAAAGGAATACGAAATTTTTCTTTTAGTCAGGTCTAGTCGTTGCTTAAACAAGAAACTTTACATAAATAATTTTTCACTTGAAGGGAATTATTTAGCATGAACCTATCCGGTGACCCAATTAGATCACATCGATGGAGGGGCTCGATAGAAGACTCGCTCATTCTGGAGCACATGTTTAGATTCAGATCATGCTCTAGTGCGAGCACGTATCTGTCTGCGTCTTACTGGACGTAGGAAAGACACTGTAGGTAAGCCTCTAAGGGTTCTACTTAATGATAAACAAACTAAGAATATATTTCAGGAACAACTGGAAAAACAGTTAGACAGACATGTAGGTTATGGCCACCCCGAGGCAGTGTGGAATGACATCCGAAAAGCTGTGGAAACAGCAGTGATATCCGCTAGTAAGGTAAGCCATAAGGTCAGGGAGAAACAATGGATCTCAACAGCATCTACCACACTGATAGATGCTCGAAAACTCATCCCCCACCTGGCTCTGAACATAACGAAGAGCGGAGTCAGCTTAAGCGAAGGCTAATAAGAAGCCTACGCAATGATCGTGAACAGTGGTGGGTAGCGAAAGCAAGAGAGATGGAAAAGGCAGTGGCAATAGGTAACAGCAGACAGCTATTCAGACTTAGGAACCCAACTATTAGCGAAACTATCTCAGACAAAGATGGGCATATCATTCATTCTTAATCCAGGAGACTGGATCGATGGGCAGAACACTTTACGGATCAGTTCAACTGGCCTTCAGCCACACTTCAGTTACCCACGATCCCCAGTCGTCTACTCTTTGTGTTTTGCCAAATTCTAATCTTCTGAATTCTTCATGTCCCTATCCTTTTTCTCTCTAAATTTATTTCACCCTATTATACTCCTTCAATAACATCTTCAAACCCCTATCTTTCACATAATACTTATACTCTTACTACTTCTACCAATATGGGATTTGAATCGACAACTTTATCTCTGTGCTAATGTGGTGTGGCAACTCGAACTGATGTACGTACGTACGAAGTTCTACGTTGTAACTGACTGACTGACTATCCGGTGTTTGTGGCAATATCCCCCCCCAAGCACTTATTCGACATCTGTACCGCTTGGAACAGACAATGAACTTTTTAAATTGAATAATTAAGAGTTATAGCAAAAAGAAAAACAATAACGAACAGTCTCAACATAGTTACACTGTGTGAAACCATTATTATAATTCTTGAGACAGAACATAATCCGTTTGACGAGAGTCTGCAATCGATCATAGTGAAGTGTTCAGGAAGGAACCTGACCGTTCTGATGGGAGAACTAAACGTCAAAGTAGAAATAAACCACACTGGGTATGAAGATATCATGAGACGAAGTGGACTGACTGGGAGAAAGGAACGAGAATGGTGTACGATTTGCAAATTTATGGTTATAGGTGGCATTATATTCCCACACAAACGCATACACAAAGCTAAATGGGTCTCACGGGACCACATTGCAAAGAAACAGATCGATCATATTTGCATCACTAAAAAATGCAGGTCAATGGAAGATGTGAAAACCAGGAGAGGAGCTGACATAGCTCCAGATCAGCACCCAGTTGTGGAAAAGATGAACCTGAAGTTAGAGAAGCAATGGACAACGGGAGGAACAACATTACTTCCTTCGAGATACGGACAAACCCAACGGATTCAAGATAACTCTCAACAATAGATTCAAGCATTACAAGGTTTACTGAAATAAGTAGGAACTATTATGGAGGACAATTGGAAAGGGATCAAAGAAGCACTAACTTCGGCATATGAGGAGGTTCCAGAACGGTAGAAGCATCGTCATAAGGAAGGGTAACAGATGTATGTAAGCAACTTGTGGTAGTATTTTTTCTCGCCGAAATTTTAAAAGTTATTTGGTTACTCAAAATTGTACTGTAAAAACATATGAGCAATCAATTTTACAAAGAGACTAACAGCTTAACAACATCAAATATCTATTCATTAGACATGTACTTAATTTATTTAAATGATAACTTACTTCTCAATAAATGAATTAATCTTCATTAAATTAATCTCTTCTGTTACACTGGGAACTTTTGATTTTAATTTTGATAGAATTGATGCTAAATTATCTAGTTTATTTAAATCAGTATCTTCTTTCAGTTTTTTCTTGCTAGGACTATACAATACACTGTCTAGTAGTGACGATTGTTTGCAAAAATTTGTAAGATCATCTACTACGCAAAGTAATTCACCAAAAGATCGATAAACACCAACACCTTTGGAAAAAAAGGGAATAAAATTGTCATCTATGGAATAAATCAGTATTTTTCATTGTAAAGATGGTTACAGGTATAAAAAAAACTACTACAGATATTTCTATTTAACGTGTTAGTTTATTGAAACTGAACCAATTTTACAATCAGCGCTATTCCTTTTTACAAACAACATACACGTGAATATAAAATGTTACTTAAAGGCATATCTAAAGATGTAGATAGTCATTATATAGGAATAATATATATTTGTAAAATCTCAGTGAATGAATTTGAAGTAAATCCGACGTTTCGCCTGGCAATCCGGTGTAAGCTTTTTCAGGGAAATATAAACAAACATCAAAATTATCGAATATAAATAGGTAGTACATGGTACATGATCATTTCACATCACAAGACTCTTACACACTAATACATATACCTAGTTTAAACATTTTTAACGTTGATTAGATGACCTATTCAATGTACAATGAACCGAAGAACCATGTACCTATTTATATTCAATAATTTTGATGTTTAATTATATTTCCTTGAAAAAGCTTAGACCGGATTGCCAGGCGAAACGTTGGATTTACTTCAAATTCATTCGCTGAGATTTTACAATTACATTATTCCTGTTTAATGTTTCACATCAACTCGGCGCCCAAATATTCTGAAACTATTCGCTCTAAATTAGACGAAAGTCCTTATATGTAGATAGTCATGTTTTGTCATTATATATCTTAATGGTATGAACGTTTAGAAACAGATCGATTTTATGAGAAATACTTTTTACAAATATCCCCCTTCTACTGAATTTGTCAGTATATCGTTCAGACAGTTTCCTTCTAAAATTAGTGAGAAGAAGCGTAAAATAACTGTAGTTATCGCAGAACAATTAACAAATAAATATTCAACTACTTACCTGAATGAAAATCACTTGGTAAACAATTTTCTGCTAGGGAATTATAAGGCTCAAGCAAGTGAGCAATACGACGACCTAGTTCAGAGTATACTGATTCGAACCTTAGCTGAAAAGCTGAATAAGGTGAAATATTTGTATGTAAAATAAGCTCGGGCAGTATATACTTTGATAAAACTTCATCTGCCGCTTGAATACGTCCAGCAGCAAACCAATGACTTGCTTCAAGCATTGCAAATATACAAAACTGGCTACGATCTTCCGTAGAGATTAAAGTACGTTGTTGTGAAACAGTATTGATATCTGTTCTACATAAATAGGCTTTTAAGCGATGTCTTGCTAATATAGCCTGAAACGAAATAGTTATAGCTGAAAATATATTTAATTTCTGATGAATAATACTACTATTAATAAGTTTCAATGGTGAAATGCGTATACTCACTTAGAATATATTTAAAATCTACTTATGAAAGATGGAAACCATACAGAGAACAATAACGATTAAGAGATATTTATTTCAGTTTATACAAAAATATTTAAGTCAAGTTTGTAATAAAGCTGTGATATTCAGAAGGAGTTTTGTGGAGATTTCAGTATTTTTCTAGCTTCAATCGACTTATGATTTCAACTTTGAAAAAAACTGTGGTATGTCGATTAGATCTTATTCATTATTATACAACCACTGTAACATGTGACTGTTGAAAATTGATAACCTTAAAAGATTACAGGAGTTTAAGTACACACAGCCTCATACAATTGTATGTATATACATCTTGATAAAAGTGAATCTGAATGATAACAAGACTTGTACTTGAATATTGGGTACATTTACTATCTTTACACAGCCTTTATAAATTATGGTACGCATATCAATTATTAATAATTAAGCAATACAACCTCACTGTTCTTTTGTCCTTAACGAGTAATTTTTAGCTTATAGCTGTTAGCCTAATTTAAGATAATTTTTCTATTGAAATTATGATGTAAGGAGCAAATTAAAACAACAGAAGCAGTTGTTTTCGTTGTTTTTAACAATTCTTTAATTGGGATCAATTCACAGAGATAAATATAAATCGCGCACAGCATGAATAACATGTTCATATTATATTTTAAACATCAAATCTACCTTTGCTTCGTGAATCCAACAAACAGGAACTCCCAGACGATTAACCACAAACGATTCAGGTTTAGTTAACGATGGTGTAGGTAGTAAAGAGATTTTATGTGACATGAAGTCTATATCCGATAAACAAGACGGGGAATTTTTATTGGAATTATTCAAAAGGCCTGGAGGCAAAACTAATGATACATGTCGACCGATGAGACATTTTACAGATGCTTCTCGAGTTTTCTCATTATCTATATGAAGCAGTACAAAAACTGACCATTCCCATAGACCTGCAGCTTCTAACTGTGTGGCGAATTCATTGCAAACACGAGTAGATATTTCAGAGAAGTCTTCATAGAAATCATCGTAAAAATGATGATATCCATAGGATACAAGAAAACGCCATAAATGCCACGACATAGCCCAATCCAAGAGATTGTCACGATTTAAAGCACAAGATGATGAAGAACGTCGACTAAAGGAACAAGGATCCAATGTTCTTTGTAAAGAATGAACCTGTTTGCGACATAATTGTAGAAGATGATAAGCTGTATCACGAGGCCAATCTCGAAATTTGATTTCAGGATTAGGACCTATGAATAATCCCATCAATAACAATAAGACATATGTAATAATTAGGAATAGAAGGGCCAATTTACAATGCATCTGTATGAAATTAGAGGTGAACATACCTTCTGTCTCTTTATTAATAGGATAATCCTTAACTGGCGAAACAGGAAGATTTGGATTGACGAGTTTGTCAACTGCAGGTGGACTTGGACGTGGTACTCCTTGTTTTATGTTAGGATTTTGATCAGAATGCCAAGTATAACTGTACACTGATAAAATCTCACCGAAATTTGCCTGGTAATCACATATATACCATATATGCGCACCAAATGCTTGAATCCAATCAAGTTCAGCAAGTACAGAGATACTTGATGAATTTGATGGATGTGGGAACTCTGTAATTCCAGCTAATAAACAATACACTCGAAGCATATTAATTGGAATATGCTGATCAAACTAAAAATAAATGAAATATATATAGAAATTTGTGATGAATATTAACTAAATATGAGGAAAAAACTACTTGTTAATTTTTTATAAACATTTTATCAGGAAAAAATATACCACTTTCAAACAGCGATCTGTACAAATCTTGATGATGAAAAAGTCATCCTATACAAAATGGAAGCTAATGAGAACTAAAAAGCTATCAGAATGTAATACGTAGAGTAAACAAAACAGTCATTGTAACCACGAAGATATATTTTTTTTTTTGAAGAAAAGACTTGGTTAAAACGATAGGTAAATTAAGTAGTACATTAGTAAAACACTATTTATGTTGAATGGACATAAACTCGATCGGTAACGATGCATAAGTTAATTGACAAATGAGAAGTGTTAACAGTGTGATGGTCATTTATATAACCTGATGCTGATATTTAAAAAGGTGAGATCCGAATCTGTGAATAACTGATTGGAATTAAGCTAATTGACTACAATCTCACTGCTTCCGTGTTCAATTTTTGATAGATTAAGTAACTAACAATTCATTTCTAGTTCCTAGTGTGACTCATAACTTGTCTGGCTAGTTGTCAACTTTCTCATTCGTAGTATAAATCACGAACTGATCTAGGCTAATTCATCATTGAAAACCTACGAATATTCTCTACTATTAATAGCCATGTTTCACATTCATAAGCGGAACAAAACGAACTGCTACGCAGTAAACTCATTCTTTTGTTGGTAGACGAATATCTCACCAACGCCACAAGTGACGCAAGTTGGCAAAAGCCAATCGAACCTTCTGAATGCTGGTGGAAATTTCGTCAGACACTAAGCAGTCAGAAACGATGAGACTCCCGAGATAAGTTGAGCGGTCAATGCATTCAACTACTTTACTCTGTATCATTAATTATTCAGGCGATGACGCAAACCAGTCCTGAAATAACATCCTACATTCGGAGGAAGAGAACCGCACCCCAAATATGTTTGCATTGTTGCACTGCAATCTTGACGAATCCCACTTGAAGTAACCGATTCCGACAACATTTCGTCATAAATTTTAACTTGACCAGTAGTGTTCGAGTAAAGAACCTGTACAAAGTTAATGCACTTCTTCGACACTCCTTTTAGTGACGGACATTGCTAGAGGAATTTACGATCAACAGTTTCTAACGCCACCTTAAGGTCAAGGAATAGAACAGTAGTGAGCCGTCGAAAAGTATGTCAGTGTTCCAGAGCGTGCTGAAGAGTGAATATTTGCTCCATACACTCACGTCCAGGTCTGAAACCAGCCTGGTTTTCTCTTCATAAGCTCCTGTCTGTCGTTGAAGTATGATTGAGGCTAATATTTTACATACTATAGTAGTTAAACTGATCCCTCTGTGATTGTGAAAAAAGGAGATTTGTCTTTTCTTATAGATTGGGACAATCGACGATTGAGACGAGTCAGATAAGATCATGTTTAGTGCCAAATTCTAGCTAAAATCTCAGTTGATCTAACTGCTGGGCCACCATGCTTAAAAATCCCAGGAGTTAGTCTGTCAAAGCCTGTTGCCCCTCCTAGACTTAGACTACCTATAGCCTCTTCAATTTCGCCAAAAGTTAGAGGATTTATATCAATTTGCCATTTAGGTTGCTTGGACATGATAGATAACTGAAGGCCAGTTGAACTGTTCCCTAAAGTATTTTCCCCATCGGTCCAGTTTCTTGGATTGAGAGTGAATAATAGTCCCGTCTTTTTCCGAGATAGTTTCACTAACAGCCGGATTTTTAATACTTAGTGATTGCATATATTTAATAAAAACCCTTATTAGATTTTCGTCTTTTCATATTTATCTCTTGAGTATCATCTTATTGATGTTCAAATATTTATTTTTATCATTTTTTTATTATGTTGCGTGATTACCCAATTACTAATTCATTTCATTACCCTTAAGCTCTTTTATCTTGATTATGATTACTAGTAACTATAACAAATACTCTGTATTACCACTACTTTCCAAAATATAAATGTAGAATTTATAGTTCGTTACTTTTAAACTGAACAACTAACTTTTATCTCATGCCATTTATTCAACTGATGTTGTAAACCACGTCGAACAACTGGATCACCGGCAGTTGACTGTGCTATTAGTGAAGCTAAAGCTGGCATATTGGATACAATGGCCAGACGACATGCAGCACCAGATTCACCTGATACCAAACAAGCAAACACTCCTTGTGCTAAAATATCACTGTCATAATTGTTGGAATTTGATTTAGACATGGAAAACGCTTCAAATGAATCAGATGCAGTTTCATTCAGACCAGCTGCTTCTATTAAACGCAAGGATTCCAATTTAGATTTCAACCAGGGAAATGACTGTGTTCTAATTATTCGTAAAAAAAAGTATAAACACAACAAAATAACATGATAGAAGTAAACATACGACGTAAACAAGAAGGATGGAAAATAAAGCTATTAATACTATTTATGAAAATACTTATCGAAAAAGATAAGAAAAAATTCACATTTACTTATGATTACGACGTAAGCAATATGCTAGGAAACAGTGATTAAGAAGTAATCAGGAGTCCTGGTACATTCACTTTGTATTTATATTCTACGTTAGAACAGACAACAGAGTAATCTGTTAGTTAGCAAACGAATAACTGTTGCATGAAAATATAGGTCACAAAACAACTCTATTGGAGTCTTCTATACATAATGATATAAACATTCGTCTCTAATCCACATTCGTATTTATAGGTGTGACAATACCTATAATTACTTTTGTTTTAAAATATTATAGGGTGTGAGAAACTAGTTGAGAACCTAGAGAAATGTAATAAAAATACGACTAGTTGTACCATTTTTACACACAAATCATTAAATGAAAAGTATGCGACAAAAAAACAAACCTTATCCATTCTGAAACAGCTTGTTTTCTGGCTAAAGAACGCATACCAGAAATTTCACGATACATATTAATTGGATAATTCACTGAATTATAATTACCATAAACTTCATTACTAATGCATTCACCATTATTCCAAAGTTGATTATTTTCATTTAAAATAGGAAAATCAGAACTGATTAATTTAGTATTAAAAATTTTATCAGTGGAACTGTCAGTTTCAGCCATTGCTTCAGCGACAGCTTCTTGTGGATGACGTCCCCAAAGTGCTTGACAAAGACTGAATATTCGTTTAAAACCAGTTAGTCGAGCGCTGAGTTTTTCATTTTCGACAGATTCATGAAAATTCATATTGATATTATTTAAAGGATCACAATTTAATATACGTGTGTAAGACTCTAAAGCTGCTAAACCAATAACTGGACGCCATAAAGGACAATGATTAGATGGTGGTTGTAATAATGAATTACTGCCAGTTTGTATAACTCGCATAGATGTAGTCAAAGCTGAATTAAGCATATCCTAAAATAATTTAAAAAAAAAACATTATTATTACTAAGTTAAAATGATTAACATATGAACGAAACAACTTATTAACAAGATATTAGGATGGTTGCTATCTAAACATTAATGATGAAAAAAATTGATCCCATTATAAATGTAACCTTCAGAATGAGATTTATTCTTGTAATGTTTCCATATTCCAAATATGTAATGAATAGATAAAGTACAAACCAATTACATCAAAACTTATCTGAGTCTATGATTTAAATAATACCTAAGACATTTGTAAAAACAAGTGTACAATTGAAAAAGCATATTTCATTATAATTTATAATTAGAAGATAATGGTTATTGAATAGAGATTAAATGGGGAGTGTATCACAACAACAATAAGAATTTAGCTGAATTTTATGGTAAGAAAAATGGGTCTTGAAGTACAGACAAATAAACTTCTATAAGCAATGTATATTCACCTGTTATCAATCTGAAAACAGATTAGATAAAGTGATTTAAAAACTTAAAGGAATCAAAGTGGACAAGAAATATTTGTTAACAATAAAATAAAACAAAAGATATATGAGAAGAAGCACTGGCTTAAACCGATAGCAAAACAAATTTGGTCACGATGACATTTATCATTAGAGATTTTATGATAGGCATTCTGAATTAAACACTTGAAAACAATTATAAAAATTATTTTTTTCTCAGTATTCACAAAGTAGTATTTTGGATAGTTGCATATTTAAAGTTAGGCACTGAAATTCTTTTAACTTACCTGCTTATCTTCATTTCATGTATTCGAACATATAATTAAATGTAAAAAGTGGATTACTTATTTACTTACGCCTGTTATCTTTCATGGAATAGCATAAACCGCTCACCAGAATTCTTCATCGAACTCTGTTAAGGGCAATCTTACAGTTGTTTCCAGCTTATTTATTATTATTATTTAAACACATAAATATTGGTACAAACAAGCACCAGATACATATGCGCTATACAAATCTCATTCGATTTGTGTAAGGGCTGTGATACTGCCCAAGTGCCCAAACTGAAGCAAATGGTTATCTTAGGGAGCCACACCCGGAGCCTTTGACCTAAAGGTCTAACCCACAAGGCAATGGAGCATCGTGAGGAGATGCAGTCCCATGGTAGCCGGCGATCAACGATTGGTTCATACGCCATTTGTTCCATCAGGATACAGGAGTCCATGTCCATCATTGGTTTGGAATCAGGGTTTTCCAACTCCCCTAGAAGGACATTCCGTGTGCAACAACCCCGTTAAAGCGCCGGACGTTCGCTTTTTGTACCCTCACTTTCGTGAACAACACCCCCGCCACGAGAGGGCAGGAGTAGGACTCCCAGCTGCTATCCATTCATTTGATGTCTGCTTCCAATTCCCGACGCAATGTGTTCTCTGGTCTATCCATTTTCCTCTTCTCTTCAGGATTCTGAGTGAGGGCTTGCCTCATGATACAGTTTGGTGATTTTCGGAATGTACGTCCTATTCACCTTCGACATTTTTTCTTAATTTCCTCTTCATCTGGAAATTGGTTTGTTCTCTCCCACAGTTGGTTGTTGCTGATGGCATCCGGCCAATGGACATTGAATATCTGGCGTAGAGAGCTGTATATAAATGCTTGTACATTTTCGAAGATGATTGTAGTAGTTCTTCAAGTTTCAGCTCCTTACAGTAGAACTATCTTCACGTTCGTATTGGAGATTCTGACTTTGGTGTTTGGCTGACAGTTGTTTTGAGTTGCATATATTTTTCAGTCGTAAGAGTGTTGCTCTTGCTTTGCCAATCCACGCCTTTACGTCTGGATCGGATTCTCCTTGTTCATGGATGATGCTACCCAGACACTTAAAAGTTTCCACTTCTTCCAGAGTTTCTCCAAGTGTGATTGATTGGTGTTCTCGGTGTTGTGTTTGAGGATCTTGCTCTTTCCCTTTATGTATGTTAAGGCCTACTGATGCAGAGACTGTTGTTACACTGTTTGTCCTCACCTGCATTTGTTGGTGTGCATGGAATGGAACATCTAAGTCATCTGCAAAGTCCACATCGCCTACTTGCATCCAACCTGTACATTGTATTCCATGCTTCCCCTCAGATGTCGAAGTCTTCATAATCTAGTCAACTACAAGAATGAGAAAGAGTAGGCAGCCTTATCTGACTCCGGTCCTCACTTGCAATGCATCTGTCAGCTATCCTCTATGCACCACTTTGCACTGAAGTCCATTGTGTGAATTCTGGATGATGTTGAAAATCTTCTTAGGTACATCATAGTGTCGAACAAGTTTCCATAAGGTACGCTTTCCTATCCACACTGACAGACGCCTTCTCATAGTCAAGGAAGTTGATGTATAGTGAAGAATTTCATTCGATTGATTGTTCAACGATGATCCATAGTGTCGCAATTCGGTCTGTGAACGATAGACCCTCACGGAACTCAGTCTGTTGGTCTAGAAGTTGGGCGTCTGCTGAATGCTTCATCCGGTTCTGAATCTCTGTTGATAACACGTTGAGGTTAGTGCCTTTTTATTCCTATCCAGTTATCCTCCATAGTAGTTTCTTCGTGTAGATATTGTGGATAACATTGGATAACAGTCATTGTGATCCCCTCATTCTTTGTTTTGAAGTATGCTTTGATAATCCTTGGTCCATGAGATTGTCATCCTATAAGTGCTTTACGTACTTCTTTGGACAGCATCAGAGCAATTTCCTGAGGGTGTGGAGCATTTTGTTCTTCGTGATCAGAGTATAGTAGCATCTCTGCTGAATCTATCCTTTTCTGTCCAGCTTGAGAACAATGTGTTTCACTTATTCCGAGCACCGCCAATTTGTATCTCTGTAGCTATTTGACTGGTCCTAACGGTCTTCCACATTGTCCAGGTATTCCATGTACCTATGTTAACTGTTGATCTGGTTGTTAGAAGGGACACCGGTCTCGTGACTTCCGAAGAATTACCGGCTCTCACCATGAGGCGTCATAATTCTTCTACAAGAAGATCGTTCAACTCGGAGGGCAGAGTTTAAATGGTTTGATTTGTATATTATGGTTGGCACTTTTTTTAGCAGGGTTGTTTTCTACGGGATTGGGTTGGTGACCCCGTACCCAACCCTCCTCCTTTACACGTGTTTGGTGCCGGCAATAGATCTAGAAGAGCTACAGGCGGAGGCACTAAAAAATATATACGCCACAATGAAAATGAAATTGTTAAGTTACAGGTTTGAACTCCTCTTCCATCACTGCAGTTTGGGTAACTGTACAGTATTAGTAGACTTTATACTTAAGGTGTGGCTCATAGCTAAGTACCTGGTAAATGAATTGATCATGATTAAAAATTCGGCATCGTGTTAGGACTGATTGATGACAATTCAATTTGTGTTACCATTTTGAAACACTGACTGATGATTTGGATCATTATTATGAATAGAATTCCATATCACGCATTAAGTGACACTAGGACTATGTGAAAAAACAGAGGTAACCACTTTATGACATGGCATAGCGTTATAAAAGAAAGTTGTATAGTACTGACATCTATCAATCCATCGCGACTCTCTGGTTCGTGTCCGAGAGTTTACGCGACTCAGTTATTTTAAACTTCACAATATATGGGCCTTAGAATAAAAAATGACCTTTTTTAGATCTTCCATGAAAGGGATGAACTATCTTAACTGAAAGGAGTTCTTAGTTGTACTTTTAACAGAACTGTCTCCTACTGCATACTTTTCTTGCTCACCCCTTTTTCCTTTCCTTTTTTTCTTAGACCCCATTCTCTTTCTTGCTTTTGTTTCTTAATGCTGCCATTTCTCTATTTTATAGTGCATAAAATTTTGGTGCCCAGTTGTACCAGATTTTATGTTAATCTGTTAAACGCGACATCGATATGCACAAACTCAATTTGATAAATTTCAAGGTTATTAAATAAATAAAGAAGGCTCATTTAAAATATTGTCATCATTAATTAAAGGGAAAATTACCAAAAAACGGAATGAACAATATCAGTTATTATCAATTTATTAGTTCTAACCTCATCAAATAATTCGATCGGTGATGGTAATGTGAAGAATGTAATGGAATTGGTTAGATCAAAATTCATCTCATCATCGTATTGATTATCACGCGGTGATGGACAAACTAGTACCATAGAATGAAATTCAGGAAACCGTGAATAACTGAAAGATGGTCGCATACCATGACCATGCCAAAGACCAGCATCCATTACCCAATGTGAAGCATGATTTAACAATGTCATATTATCATGGTTTGTGCCAGATTTCAATGACACCATATCTACAAACAATAATAATAATAAACAGTTGAAATTTATGGAAATAATTAGACTGAATTAAATGTGCCAATAATGAGTGTTATCGATGAGAGACTAATCCGTAATAGGATATTAAAGAAATGTAGCAAATAGGCAATAAATAACGTGAGATTAATCTCCTAAAAACAGCAGCAAGAAAATTAGATTTTTTTTCTTAACGTAGGTAAGTGATATAGAGAGCCAATCGGAAGTAGTAAAAGGTCAAGCGATGGAAACCAGAAGTGACCTAACGGTCAAGTGCATTTTCATCGAGGTCAATGGGTTGATCTATTAACGATAGAGTGGTATATATATATGAATGCGTATTTGTGCATTTCATTCGGTAGTTCAACAAACTTTCACGCTCAAGTGGTCATTTGTGAGGTTATTGAGTAGCACACCATATATCAGAATCAGATTTGGGACACCGTACGCCACAACAGCAAGTAGACTATGTTCTCTGTAAAATTTTCCCTTCTAATTACACATACATTTTCGAAAATTTTACGTAGCAAACACATTTGTGGCCGTTATCATATGGATTCCCGTGATGATCGATGTTGTATCCCCTGGCGAATTATGAATCATAAATCTGATGTCCATTTATGGACAAATGTAATACGCCTATTCCTATTGGATAGTTGTTAAATGAGTAACCTAAATCTGATGTCTATTTATGGACAAATACAATATGCCCATTCCCTATTGGATAGTTGTTAAATAAGTGACCTAATCGTTTCCGTGTTCCTCTTATCACAACCTTTGTTTTGACCTTGGAACTATTATTATTGATTACTTTCCCCCTAGCTACAGCCACATTGGCCAATTACTGTACAAATGTTATTTTTCTATTCTTTGGTATAATTGGGTCTGTTTGGTTAGTATATATAACCCAGTGTGCTTGTGAATAATGATTCATATTTCCGAGGCTGTTATTTGTGTTCTGGACTCAACTGGCTGGGCTAGGCAGTTAGGAAGGACCGAATAGCAATCAAGACTGCTCGTACGTATTTTCTGTATCATTGCACGTTTCATATACAATAACGATTGTTATACGAGACTGCTCAGGGTACGAGTCATAACAATTGGCGACGGGGATTCTGGAAAAAAATACAGCAGCCGCTGACGTCATTTCGGAATTAAATAATCCATAATAATTGCCGGTGTTTTTTTTGGATTTATTATTATTATTTACATTTTAAAAAATGGCCTTAACTTCCGACCAATTTCAGTTGCTAATCCAGCGACAAGAGCAGCGCTTCAGAAAGAGTCAATTGGATTTCATTGACAAATTACACGCGAAGCTGCTGAATCACCCATGCTTTGGGAGTGAAACGGAAGTTGACGCAATAATTTCAAAATTGCGTACAGAGCTGGAAAACAATTACAGAACTAATGAATATGCCGGCGAAAGCCTCAATGAATCCATACAAAGCAATAATTTAAGCGCAGCAGTTATAGATGATCAGCCCAGTAACCCAGTACTACCTGTTTCAGAGACATGCCCTGTACACGGTCCAAGTCTTATTAATCCCGAAAACGGACGTGCAAACAATGAATTATCCTATTCACAGAAAGTAAATGTCTTGCAAAATGCTCATGAAATTGCTGCAGTACCCGCCCACGAAGAAACGGGAAACAAATCGAGCAGTATATGGAATACAGTGGCACCAAATGAAATTAATCATGATACGGAAAATGTTTCTAATGAATCTAATGATCAAAATTCCTTAATTGTTCTACCAGATTTAGATTATTTTGATGATTCATATGTTTCTGTTGAATTCTCTTATAAAAATGAGAGAAAAATGTCAGATGTATTTAATGATAATCAAGAATCCAATACAACTCTCATAGATACTGATTATCCTAATGATTCATTATCTACTAATGAGGTTCCGAGGAAATTCAAGAAAACTATTTCAGAAGAATCAAATGTTGGTGACCTCGAATCAAATGTCGTCGATCCTCATGATCTCTTCAGTTCTAATGCATTCCCTGTTAAAGGTGACAAACATATTGCATTAATAGTAACTTGGCTATATGAGGATCCAACAGTCTTTCGTGGGGGAGGGTGAATTCGAGGAAATTAAAATTCCGGATTTCTCAAAAAGGGGAGGTGTTGTATCCCCTGGCGAATTATGAATCATAAATCTGATGTCCATTTATGGACAAATGTAATACGCCTATTCCTATTGGATAGTTGTTAAATGAGTAACCTAAATCTGATGTCTATTTATGGACAAATACAATATGCCCATTCCCTATTGGATAGTTGTTAAATAAGTGACCTAATCGTTTCCGTGTTCCTCTTATCACAACCTTTGTTTTGACCTTGGAACTATTATTATTGATTACTTTCCCCCTAGCTACAGCCACATTGGCCAATTACTGTACAAATGTTATTTTTCTATTCTTTGGTATAATTGGGTCTGTTTGGTTAGTATATATAACCCAGTGTGCTTGTGAATAATGATTCATATTTCCGAGGCTGTTATTTGTGTTCTGGACTCAACTGGCTGGGCTAGGCAGTTAGGAAGGACCGAATAGCAATCAAGACTGCTCGTACGTATTTTCTGTATCATTGCACGTTTCATATACAATAACGATTGTTATACGAGACTGCTCAGGGTACGAGTCATAACAATCGACACCTAAAATTCCACAATCAACAAAGATCAAAGATGAACCGAGCTCACTTAACTAACACAAAAGGCTTAAGTTACAGAAAGTGTGATCAATTATAAAACTGCATGTATTGTACCTGCAAACACTAAATGTATACACTTACCACATATTTTTGTTATATTTTCATACGGGTACAAATTCATTAAGAAGTTGTTATCATTAATAACGTCCAAATGGCTTTTCATCTCCATAAGTGACAACTGTAGACTTTGTGGTAGATCATTTCGTTGGTCTAATTTATCATCCTCATATAGTGCAATACCATCGAAAGTAGGACATGATGGCAAGGTGCGGAATATTTGGGGAATGTAAAAATCACTCTATGAAGTATCAAAAATAGAACAGAAACAAAACAGTAGCATGAAAGAACAAGAACAAAAATAGGTTAGCTTATTACCAAGTACAGTTTTACGCACTTAACATTGAGACAAGTGATACTCCATCCGGTTACCCAGACAGCAGTGGGGATTTCAAATTTCGAATATACATGTTGAAATCCAAGCACTCAAACTATTAACGTAACGCTCCAGCGTAAAAAGCAACTAAAACTTCTCAAGAACTATAAAATCGCTGTAAACAAATCAATTCATGAATTGATCAATTGTTAGAAAAAAAGGGTTCGTTACAAAAAGTGAATCAGAATACGAAATTACCAAAAACTATTGTGTTAGAGAAACTAAAATTACTACCAACGAACTAAATTTATAGCTGAGAACTAAAATAAACTTTTTAATAAATGATTTAATCAGACCATTATTCAATAGAAATTAAAGTATTTGACAAGTTTACAACTCTGTAGGACCTTCTTATGAGATGTAAGTTTTTAACTACAGTGAAAAAGGATACTGTGTTTACTACCGAACACAAAAAATTAATGAAATTAACAATTTAGTAATCTAATTCAGTAGTATATAGTAATCATATAACTTCCAATAACTTACTTGCTGGTCGAATTGAGGATCAATAACCTTCATATTCATATATGGCTTCAATTGGAAATCCTTGAATATTCCTTGATCTGAATCAAAGGTCCCCAGTTTCTAATGACAATAAATGAAGAAGAGTAGAAGACGCTTCGACTAAAAAAGTCACTCATATGACTTAAAATGGTGTTATTTTATTTTCCTGATTTTGTATTTCTTATTTTTTAAAATCTTTTGCAGTAGTCCGATTTGCTTTTTCCTATTGGTTCCTTATTCTTCTAATATGCGATACTGGTCAGTATATGAATAGATTGGAAAAAGGGTAGTGACGATCAAATCATGAGGTTACTTGTCACTGGTCTGAGCGGCATCAAAGACTAAAGGCAATCTAATTAGGATTCAGAAATTGCCATAAATCGTGATTGGACAAACTTAAGTACCGATATTATTTCGCTTTTATTGTAAGGCAGTGGTTGGAATTAGTCGACAAGAAACTATGGGACAAATTCCCGTGCTATTTGGCATTCGTCAACAAAGAACTGATATTTCCTAGAGAACTTGATCCAGTATCATCCAGCTTCACAATCAGAAACGTTACTAATGAGATATTCGGGGAGCCACTGATCTGTAGTACCGGGGTCGAGGTTGATCGATACGTTTCAAACAACACTAAGAAGGACTTGATATATATAACAATGGCCACCACTCAGTGATTAATCAATTGTAAATAATTTCAATTCTTTCTTTTAAGCTACATATTTACAGTGACTCATTTGGTTTTTACCACGTTAATTTTATTTCACTTTGCTGATGTAAAGTTTGGTAAGTGAATTTGATACAACAGTGTGCCAAGCTCTTACGTTGTCTGTGTCTGATTGACCACGGTTAAGAGTAACCAACATTATGTTACAAGCTGTGGTAAGGTGAAACAGTCAGCAATGTCAACAGAACACGAATGTGACTATCCAAACCTATGATACCTTGTCTCTCGACCATAGCTGCTACCATGACGTGATGGTCGGGCTTGCCTATCGTGATGACCTAACCGAGCTATATTGGCTGGAACATATGTTCCTGTAGATTCTACCATACCAGACAGGTCTATCGGAGAATTGTAAAACTAAAGGCAGCAACTCAAGGTCTGAGGGCGAAGTCGTACTGCTCACTCTAGAAAGGTGTGACAGTAGTAAGGTGTTTCCCTCGGTCAACCAGCATTTGCAGCCTTTTCACAAGGAAGGAAGGAGTTAGAAAGGATCGGCCCTAAAAATGTCAAACCTCACCTTACCCCAAGGATTTTCGTCTCCGGCGGTAAGGCCCTTTAAAGAACGGAGCTAACATGTCAAAATCCTCCAACAAAAAGGTTGTGCATGACCGGACTCAAACAGTTGTCCCTTGGGCTCTGCAGTCACACTACCAGGCCGTTAAGACCGACATTAATCCAACTTCCCTTTCAGATCCCTCAAGAAATACCCTTCCATGGTGTGGACAGACGGAAAGTGATATCAGTCCTCATACCCGTAACAACACACGGGACCAAGTTGGTCACATTCAAATCCATCCTACACCTCCTAATAACTCTCTTATCTCCACGACTAACCCTTCTCACGTCCATTTATCACCTCACATCGCTAGGGCAAACGAACCGAGTACGCGTAACGTTATTCCTGGTCTCCTGAAACCACGCTCTAAACTACATGTAGGAACTTCTAACGTCAGAACATTGTGCCAAATAGGACAACAGGATTCCTTAGCCAGGACTTCAGAATCTCGCATCATCGATGTGTGCTGCGTCTTCGAAATGCGCATACAAGATCCGAGTAGCGTCATTCATTTGACCTCACCATATCAAGATAACCATCTCGATTCACGCTTCGTGTATCAGGAAGCCCTGATGCTGCTTCCCGTGGCCTCGTTGGCGTAGGCACGGCATTGAGTCCTGCGGCAGAACTAGCTCTTTTAGACTGGATCCTAGTAGAAAGTCGTTTGTGCGCTGTTCGACTAAACGGAACAGTAAGGACACGGAAAAAGACAGACACTCGTCGTTCCCTTTTCGTTGTCTCAACCTACTCTCCCACTGACTGCAGCTCAGATGATGTAAAAGATGAGTTTTACACAAATCTTTCCGGCCTTCTCGGAAAAGCTAGGCGCTCTGATGTAGTAATAGTAGATGGTGACCTTAATGCTCAAGTATGTAAACTAAGAGAAAGGGAAAGACACTTGGGTGGATTCTATGGTGTCGTTGCTCGAGGAACAAATAATGGCGACCGTCTGTTGCACCTATGCTCAGATAGCCGCCTGTTTCTTGCAAATAATAAATTTCGGCACAAGGAAAAACATCTTCTGACATGGCAACCCCCAAATTCGTTCCAACGTTGGACCCAAATAGATCACATCGCTATCAGCCACCGATGGAGGGGCCCGATAGAAGACTGTCCCTCATTCTGGAGCACATGTTTAGATTCAGATCACGCTCTAGTGCGAGCACGTATCTGTCTGCGTCTTACTGGACGTAAGAAAGACACTGTAGGTAAGCCTCTTACTGTTTTACTTAATGATAGGCAAGCTAAGAACATATTTCAGGAACAACTGGAAAAACAGTTAGGCAGCCATGTAAGTTGTGCCCACCCCAAGGCAGCGTGGAATGACATTCGAAAAGCTATGGGAAGAGCAATGATATCTGCTAGTGCGGCAAACCATAAGGTTAGGGAGAAACAATGGATCTCAACAGCATCTACCACACTGATAGATGCTCGAAAACTCATCCCACCTGGCTCTGAACATAACGAAGAGCGGAGTCAACTTAAGTATAGGCTAATAAGAAGCCTACGCAATGATTGCGAACAGTGGTGGGTAGCGAAAGCGCGTGAGAGGGAAAAGACGACGGCAATAGACAACAGCAGACAACTGATCAGACTTGTTAAAGGAACCTGTATTAGGAACCCAACTGTTAGCGAAACTATCTCGGAAAAAGATGGACATATCATTCATTCTCAATCCGGGAGATTGGATCTATGGGCAGAACACTTTAGGGATCAGTTCAAGTAGTTGACAAAAGTTCGTGTATTCAATGTTTATTGCAAATATTTTTTGGTTTCATTTATGACCAATTACATCAACAGATAAACAGAAAATCGACAAAACGAAAATGAACGAACTTAAAACTACTGACATATGAAGCGAATGTTTTTGAGGGAAAAAGCGGGGTTTCCGGTCGACTACTACAGATCACCTAATAAAATATCATAAAAAATAGCGATTTATGAGTACAAGGAATTAACCGACTAATAAATATGTATATAGTATGAAAACTAATTATTATTTACCTCATTTTTATGAATGATATTGAGTGTATCATCATTGATTGATTGATCACTATCGAATAGACATTTTGCTTTGACATCAGTCGCTTTTGAAAGATTTTGTGACTTGTTCAGTGAGTCTGAATCACAATTTTTACCTTCATCTTCACCATCTGAATCGTCTAACCGATACTTGGAAAAATGTTTGACCTCAAAAACCCAAGAACCAGACTCTGGTCGATATTCAATGAATCTAAATCCGTTAAAATAACATAATATGATGAAACAGTTAGTAGAATGAGAAACCAAAGTGAGGAATACAATTAAACATTTATTGCATAACTCAAGAATACCTGGCATCCATTCTTCTAGTAGCTTTTTCCAGACGTTCTTCAAAATGCATTAAAGCTAGTCGTTCAGGCGATTTGATTGGTTCTCTTGTAGATTTATCTGTAGGCCAAATAGACTCCAAACAAACTTCAGCTCGTTTATTCAAACTAGTACCAACAGGAGGTTTCTTTTCATCATCCGGATAAACAACAACTTCACGTCGACGAATATGAACAATATTATCCAAATTAAGTCCGTAAACATCAGTAATCCCCGGAAATAGTATATGTCCATAAAGCTGAATTTTAAGAATATACGCGAGAATAAGTAAAACATCGATATAACGGTATGATGGCTTTTAAAAAAGACAGTGTGAATAGTGGTATAACTTCAAAAGTTAAAGTGGAGCTGTGACTTGGTAATTAATCCATTCAACCCTTAACCACTAAGTGATAGGTTTGACTTCCAATAAACCTACTTCGGTTCGGGAAAATGGATAGCACATAAAGCGTGACTGAAAGTCCACAACACGTATCTGTACTTAGTAATCCAGTCATATCATCATCAAAAATAAAAAAACTGATTGATCAAAATAAACAATCTTAGACAAAATGGCATGGGTTCAATCTCTATACAATACAGAAAACAAAACAAAAAAATACAAATATGCCGAAATGAATCAAAAAGACATGGTTTTAGAATAGAAAATTACTGAGAATTAAGAAAATGTTAGTGACTGCATATGTATGATGATGCTCAATATTCAACATGTCATCTAGCGGATCTCACGTAGATCTAAACGGCTGCTAGCCTGATAAAATGTCATCGTGTTTTGGTTTGACCACTTATAACTTTTTTCCGAATTGGTATTATCAACCAACAAAGTATATCAAGGTGAATGTTGATTTCATTAATACAACAAACCAATGGACCAGTACACCTTGAATGTTTAAGATTTTGCATCTCTACACTATTTAACCGGTGGTACCATTGTCCTGTGTGTTAGGTAAACGGACAGATATGTCGTATGTATCAAGATCTGGAAGTAGGATCCTTACTGACATAAGCGGAACATGAGGATAAGAGGGAGAAAAGACTGGCTGTAGGCAACACTAGACAACTCTTCAGACTAATAAAAAAAACTGGAATTAAGAAGTCAAATGTAAGCGAATTAATTTCTGAAAAAGACGAAACCCATATCAGCTCTCAGTTTAGATTTTCAGAACGATGGGCGGGACACTTTAGAGAACAGTTGAGCTGGCCTTCAGCTACTCTATAACTACCCACTATTCTCAGACAACCTGAATGGAACATTGAAGTAGGTTCCCCGACTCTAGCTGAAGTTCGAAAGGCTATAACTAATCTGAAATGAGGAAGGGCATCTGGTCCAGATGGATTGACTCGAGAGGTCTTTAAATATGGTGGGATTAGTCTGACTAATATAACATCTAAAATACTAGCCTCAATAATTATCGGACGCCTAACTAAGACTCGTTAACTCAAAACACGAGAAAATCAGGCTGGCTTCAGAACTGGTCGTGACTGCATCAACCACATATTCACTATTCGTCAAGTTTTAGAACACTGACATGCTTATCGGCGTCCGACAATGATAGTTTTTCTTGACTTAAAAGCAGCATTTAACTCTGTAGACCGAGAGGTTCTGTGGCAGTGTTTGTCAGTGAAAGGTGTACCTCAGAAGTGCATGAACCTTGTGAAGGCTCATCACTCGAACACTACTAGTCGAGTTAGAGCTTATGGCGAACTGTCATCTGATTTCGCAACCTCAAGTAGTGTCCGGAAACACTGTCCACTATCCCCATTTTTCTTCAATTTCATCATAGACCTATTTCTAGAAATCACTCTTGTCGACTGAATTTTCAGGAATTGATCTCCTACCAGGAGGTCCACTTATCGACTAAGAATACGCGGCTGACATAGTCCAGTTTGGTGAAGACGCTGATAAGGTGCAGGGTCTTTTGGTAGCACTAAGTAACAATGCCAAGATGCTTGGGATGCGTTTCTCCTCCTCTAAATGAAAGTTTTTGCTACAGGACTGGCCTGAGTCAACACCTGAACTAAAGATAGGGAGTGAAGTAGTCGGACGCGTCAACAACTTCACTGATCTTGCGAGTCTGATCAGTCCTACTATGAATTCGGTGTCCATCTTGTTATGCTAATGAGGTATGGCAATTTCGACCGATGCATATTTGTGCCTGGTCCTACGTTGTAGCTGACTGACTGGGAGGAAGAAGAAAAGTAGTCGGAGTTGCAACAGGAATGGAAGAACAATGAAGTTTGTAAGAGACATTTCGAGGAAGATGTTCAAGTGGTGTATTCAAAGTATAATTTTCATATTTTAAAAATGCAGTGCGTGATTTTGTATAATAAAATAAATTAATTTACCCCACCCAAGTATTCGTTCATTACATTGTCATAGAGGCAAACAAATCTGAGAAGATGCCTATAATGCATCAACTTATTAAAACCTAAAACTATTAATGTATCAGTTTAAATCACTGAAAAAATTTGTAGTGACATGCTAGTCAAAGTCGCGATCGGGCAGCGTGAAGAGACAGACATATCTGTCTACACTGAAATCACAAAAAAACATGTTTATCAGTTCAAGTTGGCACACCACATATGCACAACGAGATGAAATTATAAGGACAAATGGCAGAGTTGTAAAAACATAAACAGTACCAATGTTAGTAGATAATATTAGGGATAGACAATATAATACGACACGGAATCCTTTGAATAAAAAAGTGCAAGATAGACTTAAAACTTATGATCTAATTGAAGACAAAAAGCAAATACATCCGCGTTTTTGCGGACGATTGGAAGTAATGTTACATAACGTCTCCAACCACCGACTATGATGATCGTGCAGACTCCGACCTGCTAATTTGTACCTATCGACACAGTTTAATCCAACTATCAATGAATTAATGGAATGATGTTAGGTTTTAGGTTTGAACCCCTCTAGATACATTAATTTTTCGCAAATGATATTCCTTTTTTTATAGCTGGACAAAGAAAAATCCTAGTTAAAAAAGAAATTAGAAACAGTTACGAAAGCAAACAAACAAGAACTTACACGACGACCAATTACAAAATCTTCTACCAAGCACTTTTCTTCAGTTACCATTTCAGCTAATTCATCTAACGTAGGTAAAGTATAATAACCAGGTTTTGTTAAAATTACACCAGAAGGATTTAATGTAGTGGTGTTATTAGGTTTACAATAATTTAATTGATCCCAATCTGATGTATCACCATCACCATGTAATTGTTCTGAATTAGGTGATCTAAGTATAGAAATATCATCATAAGTAATATTTGATGGACTGGACAATATAGAATCAGTGTTATTTTCATGTATACTTCCTTGTAAATTATCACGTATTCGTATTGTATTATCAATTTTATTCTGTTGAGGAATATGATTATTCAATGGAGAATTATTAATTTTTCTATTGATAATATTATTATTTAATAAATTTCTTGATGATTCACTTGTTGTTGTAACAGGAGTCAACTGATAATTTTCGAGGGAAAATAGAGAGAAAATACAATAGAGATAAAGTTTACACATTTATTAAGTAGTGAAATACAAAAACGAATTGGCATATGTAGATATATAAGAACTTCCGTCTAAATTAGAGAGAATAGTTTCACAGTATTTGAGCGCCGAGTTGATGTAAGACATTAAATAGGAATAATATATATTTGTAAAATCTCAGTGAATGAATTTGAAATAAATCCAACATTTCACCTGGCAATCTGGTCCAAGCTTTTTCAAGCAATTATGATCAAACATCAAAATTATCGAATATAAATAGGTACATGGTTCTTCGTTTCATAGTACACTGAATAGGTCATCTAATCAACGTTAATAATGTCTAGACTGGGTATATTTATTAGTGTGTAAGAGATTTGTGATGTGAAATGATAAGTGTTAATATAACACATTGTATAGAAACGTAAGTGGTGAGAGGAGAAATTTCATTCACACTATATATTGTCTCTTATCGGTGAATTTATAAGAAAAAACACAATTTGTAATTCAGTCAGTCAGTCACAACGTAGAACTTCGTACGTACGTACATCAGTTCGAGTTGCCATACCACATTAGCACAGAGATGCAGTTGTCGATTCAAATCCCATAGTGGTAGAAGTAGTAGGAGTATAATCAGAAATCCAAAAGACTAGGGTTTGAAGAAATTATTGAAGGAGTATAGTACAATGAAATAAATTTGGAAAAACAAAAAAAAGGATACAGACATGAATAATTCAGATTAGAATTCGGTAGAACATAAAGAGTGGATGCATCTTTGCCATTGCAAACGATTTTGAGCCATGTCATTCAAGGTCTCTAACCATCGGTTGCTGTCATCTCAATTTGTAATTCTCTTAATATTGTTTGTTTGAATCTTCCTATCGATGTGTTAGGACTGCAACTGATCAGTCTCTAATTGGCATATGTGCATACTGTGAGTATCGACTCGAAATAGCCTTGATTCACAAGCATGATAAGCAAAGATGCATAGTGGCTAGCAGTAGAATCCAGGACGTGCGTTTCGTCCTATTTGGATAACGCGATGGCGTTTGAAGCGAGGGTAATGGGTTCGAGTCCCAGAGTGAACATCAACTCTGAGATGCAGGTACATCCAGCTGACGAGTCCCAAATAGGACGAAACGCGCGTCAAACTGGATTCCACTACTAGCCACTATCCATCTTATCATGCTTGTGAATCAAGGCTATATCGAGGCAATACGCACAGTATGCACATATGCCAATTAGAGACTGACCAGTTGCAGTCCTAACGCATCGATGGGAAGATTCAAACAAACAATACTAAATGAATTTAAACTTCACCCCATCGCACAAGCAAGTGGCTATCAGGACTCAGTGGCCGAGTGGATAACGCGGTGGCGTTTGAAGCGAGGGTACTGGGTTCGAGTCCCAGAGTGAACATCAACTCTGAGATGCAGGTACATCCAGCTGACGAGTCACAAGTAGGACGAAACGCGCGTCCTGGATTCCACTGCTAGCCACTATCCATCTTTGCTTAACAATTTGTAATATATGATATGATATGGGTTCGAATCTCGCGAGTGCGGGATCGTGGATGCGCACTGCTGAGGAGTCCCATAATAGGACGAAACGGCCGTCCAGTGCTTCCAGGTTTTCCCAGGTGGTCTAGCTTCAATTGAATCATGATTTTAACAGTGAAAATACTAAATTCTCCACAAAACTCCCTCTGATCTATATATGATATGAATCATATATGTGTCACAGCATGTATAAAATGAAGATAATCAAAACAAAATAAAAGAGTGAAATTTGAAGAGGAAGAATGTAATTTGAAACTGAATGTATGTGTCATTTTTAATGTTTCAGTTAATTGTTGTCATTTAGATAATACGAGATAGACAATAAAACGGTAAGGAGTTCAGGATTTTGTTACTTATTAATGATTAGCTGCCATTGCACTGCTAATTATATTCCATCTCTCCTATTAATATTGTTTGGATTAGCCCAAATGCATAGGGCTTCAGCTGTTTGTCTTTCTTTGTAAGAATAGGAATCTCTTTAATCGATAATCTTGATGTTTGATTATAATCCTTTGAAAAAGCTTGGACCAGATTGCTAGGCGAAAAAGTTAGATTTACTACAAATTCATTCACCAAGATTTTACAAATATATTATTCCTAGTTAATGATATATGTAGACTTTTAGAAAAACGACGATTCAAAAATGCGTAGCCGATGATAGCTATATTATTTTATTCTGGTATTGAAAATTGAAATGTTCAAATTAGATAGCTTCGTTTATTGACCAATCATAATATGATATTAGAAATATGATAACAATTACACGCGACAGAAATGAGTAATTCGATAATGGCAATAATAATTAACAGAACTTGATTCCGATTCATTTTTGTATTGTTTGTTTGAATTTTCTCATTGATATTTGGGACTATAATTGACCAGTCTCTTATTGGAATATGTGCACCCTGTGCGAATTGCGTGAATATTGTCTTGTTACAAGTATTATAAGCGAAGATGGACGGTGGAGAGAAGTGGAATCCAGGGGCTGCATTTCGTCCTATTTGGAACTTGTCAGCTGAATGTGCCTGGACTTAGTAGCTAAGTGGATGACGCGATTGCGTTTGAAGCGGACAGTACTGGATTAGAATCCCGGAGTGAACATCAACTCTTGGATGCAGATTCATCTAGCTGATGAGTTCCAAATAGGACGAAACGCGCGTCCTGGATTTAACTGTTAGCCGCCATCCATCTTTGTTTATAATACTTCATTCTGCTTAGAATGAAATAAGTTAAAGATTGACCTGATAAATTGTATAAACTAATAGGTTATTTATACCATACCATACGGTTATCATCTACTTTATTCAATCGGTTATTATGAACATAGGATTGATGTTAGGTCGCAATTTTCGTACGACTTTGTTCCAACCTACTATATCAACCCGTATTGCATATTAGGTTAGTGGAGATATTTATTTAAACACATAAATATTCGTAGAAAGAGGCATCTAAATATATATGCGCCACACAAAAATGAGGCTGTGGAGAGACAGAGAAGCGACTAGATATAAGTAGCATATATCCTAACCACATCAGTTGACGAAGGTCCGTAGCATCATCGATGCTTATCGACTTATTCATTTCCCCTAGTAAACTGTGTTTAACTTTAAAATTACTTACTCTTCGGTTCAATCATACTCGAGTAATCCTGTTGTTGTATCCTAACGAAGAATAAACCAATGATAACTGTTGGGAATTATTTGTGGACTATTATAACATATATTCATATTGGATAACTATTGGGTAACTACAATGTCTGCATATTTACATTCCTTTTCTTATAAGCTTCCATTTGACCTATTGACTACTATTATATGATTTACTATTCTTAAGTTATCCTCAACGTATTAGTTACAGTATCTCGCACTCACAACCACTTTTGGTCTGATCTTGTATAAATGTTATTTTCTATTTTATGGTATGATGCGGTCTGATTTGCTTGTTTATAATTTACGTATGTCTAAAATACATGATTCATACAGTAGAGGTTAGGATTGTTTGCTGGACTCAACGGGCAGGTCTAGAGGAGAAGGACCAATATGGACTCAGAGTTGACTCTAGACTGCTCGTACTGGTTTATGCGTCACTGGTTTGGCACAGTGCCAAGGTGATATAAGTCGGTATCCTATTGGAGGTATAGTCACTTGATAATTAACAGGGCATAAGAACACAACAACCATCATACTTTATTGGGGCATAATTATTAACTATTAGATAAAACTTACTTTCTTCTCCACAGTACTATTAACAATAGATTGATCTAGTGGCGATAAATTAGATTTATTTACTTCTTTCAGTGAAATATCACCAGAGGAAGTAGAGATTTGTTTATTTGATGGATTATTATTTACTATCGAATCAGAATGTACTGTATTATTATCTAAAGATGATTCAGCCAACTGATTTAATTCATTTGTTATAGCATTTGATCGTTCCAATATTGAATTTCTTACATTTTCAGGTAGATGAAGATGTTTCCATTCTCCTCGTTTAACAAAGAAATTACCAGTGGTATTATTATTTACAGGGCTTAAAACAGCTGTCGGTCCTAATGAAGCGGTGCGTCGAAGACTTGATGACAAAGGAGAATTATTATTACTAGTTAAAGCATCTTCTTCATAGAAACCTGAAAACAACTGATAAAAGTGCAAGAAAGGGACAATGACTATTTATGAAATGGATATATTGAGTACGTTTATTCAAAAAGTATTTAGTTAATAAAAAGCATGTTGATTGAGTCAGTATAATTATGATATTATTGTTTAAAATGAACATAAGCATTAGGGAAAGTAAACAATTATCCAATCACCAATCTACCTACAGACAGGCAAATACGAGCATTCTTCAGTAATCTACACAATAACCTGTCGACTAGTTTGTTAGTCACAATTATTACCTATCAATTAAGGATGACGAAATTTTGTTTGGATAGAATCAGAAAAAACCACATGCCTATTGAATTAGTCAATTATTTACACAACCAACAAGTGTGTAATAGGGAAACTAAAATTCATCATTTTATGACTATACAATTAATAAATATTAAGTGATTTGTGATAACTGAATTTTGATCTTCCAATAATTTAAAGACAAATCAAAAGAAAGAAAACATATCATGGAAGTACTTATGAACGACTACAAGCCGACAGTAGATATTAAACACAAAAACGTAATCACCTATGTATTTTTTTAATGATAAAAAGTATTAAATTTGTGAAGTGATTTGGATTTTCAGACAGTTACTGAAGGTTTATGAAAATTTAGTGTTTCTTTGTATTTTTAAGACATTTCTTTAAAATATCAAGCCTATAATTATACGCTTTTCTCTGTAGACTTCTGATTAACTATAAACTCCGTTTGACTAGATATTCAGTGGGAATGCTAGACAGTCAAGTTTCTGAAGTCTTTGTCTAATTTGCTCGGCTGATGACGTTAAGTTGATGATACAAAAATCTTTAACTTCATCCGTATTGCAATCCGTCGAATTGTCACAAAAGACAACAAAATGACATTCTCTCTAATCACTTTATATTTTAATGACTAGGAACTCAAATCTCAGTAGGCTGAGAGGGGTTTAAGTACACGATTCTCTTTTTAAAAGATAAATGCATAAGTCAGTTAAATAAACTTTCAAACAGAAAACTACGAAAAGTGTAACGACTTTTTTGAGGTTTAAGGCCAGTTTCACAGGTTCCTACTTTCAAAACCTTAAATTACAAGACATCAGCTGAGCAGATTAATTGACTGAAACAAAGTTTTATTATGCCAAGTGTTTTGGATATTGGTAAACAATCCAACAAACTGAAACGACGTATAGGCATTAGTAGGTTGTCAGCTGACTGAAGCGAACTGCTAAGAAGATATGTTGAGACCTCGTTTCAACCACTCCTTTTGTAGACATTTAAGCAGACGAAGAACCAGTAGACTATCTTATTTCTCATCATTTGGTACCATCATCAGATTAAAAAATGTAACTCATTTAACTAGTAAAGTATTTGGCATACAATTTTAGGCCGCACCACCCGGAAGGCAACAATGAAGTAGCTGAAGTAAAGTTTGAATGACGAACTGAGTAATTGAAACTCGAATGCTTTAACCAATAAACCAACGTTCCACTATCATCTCAGAAAGCAATGATTTAACGATTCAGACGTTTATTAGGGTCAATAATTAGGAATCTAAGTTTAATTTATAGTGGAATTATGCACAATCAGTGAATAAATTTGTGTTCATTTACTGTATATTGCTTTCGCAATAACGGGAAAGTAAGTTTGGAATAGTAACAAATCTCAGATTATCTAACGCACATGAAATACTTTCAAACTTTGTTGATAAACTCTATTTACCTTGTTGCGATTTGCTACCTGAAGGAGACGAGCATTAGAATTAGCAGGACGACGGAAACCAGAAACACGACTACCATTTAAACCAGAATTGGTTGGACTAGATCCAACTAATAGTCCTGCAGCTCTATTACGCTCAGCGAACATCGTGGCGACATATTTAGCTGGTACAATAACACTTCCAGAAGTAGAAGTGTTGGGTGCTATAGTTCCAGGAACTTGTGCTTTTGAATCTGCGTTAGAAGTAGGATTTGTGGGTAAGTTTAAGTAACGAAACAGTGAAGATTGACCATACGGCATACTACGAACAACTTCTAAAACTTGTTGTTGAGCTTTTATAGACTGAGCAACTTGATCGTTTGAACCCAGGCCAAAAGCAGAACCTGTTGCATTGATCTAGGAAACAACATTCAGAAAGTGTATAAAACAGAAAATCAAGGAGACTGAAAGTAAGTCAAGATTGGGTATATGAGAATCATACCAGTATAAATCTCAAAAAATGAATAAACTGGCCGACAACAATCTTTTCACAAAATAAATATGTGTACATTGGAAATTTTAAAAAAATCAAAAAAATTTTACATCTCAAGAATTTAGCTAATTTCACAGTACATGTTTCGAGCCGTAACTAAGAACAAGCATAAAATTTCCGTCAAAACCCAGTTAAAATGTTGTTAATACATTTTAGAAGAGAAATGATTGATTCACAGGTAGAATACAGTAAGCATAGAACTACATGAAACATTAACAAGTTGATCATCAGATATTTAATGAGCTGAAAACCTAATTATAAGTTCTCTTAATACATAGTTTGTGACGGTTAGTGATAGTAGGTCGGAATTGAGAAACTGAAATAGGTTAGGATCTCGGACTTGATATTTGAAGGTCATACACTCAAACTACAGAATCAAAAGTCTGACTAGATGGATAACTAGGGACTGTATGTCCAGATTTAATACAAACTGATACTAAATTGTATATAAATCCAGGCATCATATTTTATATCACATTTTGATATGTTTATATGTAAGGAAATTCCACTAAGACCTTGATGTAGGTTTGTTCTCTGAGCTGGATGGTTTGGTCGTGGAGCTTTCATCGTCCTTCTGAACGACAACATCAGCACAAACTTCGGGTAGAAGTGAAGTGTTTGAATTTCTCCACACGTGATTCACAGCTTGTCCTGTGCACCTCGATGTTGATTGGTTCTTATTGACCTTAAATCTGTCATTGTTTATTTCTTTGTTTTGGTTGTATCTCCTATTGGTTTGATTTTGAAAGACGATGAAAGCTCCACGACCAAACCATCCAGCTCAGAGAACAAACCTACACCAAAATCACCCACCTGAGCTACAAATCTTCTTCACCATCCCACTAAGACTTACATTTGAAGTATAACGTTATGACTTTTTCCTAGTCAAATTGTATTAATTATGTACTGACAGATGAAGATATCACACATCAAAACCAACGCGGACAGTTCAACGCCTGACACTAATAATTAATAAAATAATTGCAAGACGATTGACAAATGGATGTTGTGGCTTAACTTTTAAAAGCAAGAATTCCATCTACCAATTCTAATGTACAAATACTGTAAAAAAAATACTGTTAATCTCATGAAATGCAACATGAACTGGATTCATTCGCTCAAAAATATCCACCGAAAGTATGATCAAGAATAAATAGGATTTACAATAAACAAGATGAAACAGATTTTTAACGTCGCACATTCATACGATGATCTAAACTACACGCAATCACATAATTCGTGGTCAATTGCATTGAATAAATTTTTAATTAATAATTATTGTTTATAACTATATTTCTAAAAAAGAATCCAGTATCAAAGGCAACACTAAAGAATTGCATTTTTGCCCTTTATGCTATACTATTCATCGTACTTACAGATAGCCAGGAATTAATTTCAGTAGTACCCCAGAGACAAGCACATTTTACTGTATGACGGTAATAAATTAAACGACAATTTCCAAAGGGAAAAACAAAAAAATTCAACTCACAGTACCAAGTCCAGTTAATGAAGAGCCAATGGGTTGAACTCCAACAGAGCCTAAACTTTGAGTACCAACATTAGTGCCAAAAAGATTACTTCCCAAACCTCCAAAAGTTGATGCCGTACTTGCTCCCAAACCAAAGCCACCACCAAATGTGCTACCTGCAGGAACATTCTGCAAGGGCTTTTGGCCAAGACCAAAACCTGTACTAGTTTGACCAAACAAAGATCCTGAAGTAGCCCCTGCTCCTAAACCAAAACCTGTAGCCGCAGATGGTGCACCGAACAAACTAGTCCCAGTATTAGGTTGACTAAAACCAAACGATCCAATGCCAGTAGCATTCGCCGTTCCAAAACCGAAAGGCTTTTTAGCTGTTAGGCTACTAGCAGCAGGTTGACCGAAGAGTGTTGTTCCAGCTGAAGATGTTGTGCCAAGATTACCAAATGCGGTGGGTTGATTATTTAAACCAGTTCCAAAACCAAAGCCAGTGGATGTCCCTGGTAAACATTGAAAATATTAAAAAGACCCTAATGACAGATACATGCCGTTTTCAACAGGTAAACAAGTGTGAAAAGTTATATTCTCAATTTTCGATAACAATACTTAAAGAGTATGTATAAACTTCAGTAACCCCACCTGTAGCCTTTCTAGGGTTACTAACAGTCTGAAGCCCGAGTAAAGGAGGAGGGTTGGGTACGGGGTCACCAACCCAATCCCGTAGAAAACAACCCTGCTAAAAAAAGTGCCAACCATAATATACAAATCAAACCATTTAAACTCTGCCCTCCGAGTTGAACGATCTTCTTGTAGAAGAATTATGACGCCTCATGGTGAGAGCCGGTAATTCTTCGGAAGTCACGAGACCGGTGTCCCTTCTAACAACCAGATCAACAGTTAACATAGGTACATGGAATACCTGGACAATGTGGGAGACCGTTAGGACCAATCAAATAGCTACAGAGATACAAATTGGCGGTGCTCGGAATAAGTGAAACACATTGTTCTCAAGCTGGACAGAAAAGGATAGATTCAGCAGAGATGCTACTATACTCTGATCACGAAGAACAAAATGCTCCACACCCTCAGGAAATTGCTCTAATGCTGTCCAAAGAAGTACGTAAAGCACTTATAGGATGACAATCTCATGGACCAAGGATTATCAAAACATACTTCAAAACAAAGAATGAGGGGATCACAATGACTGTTATCCAATGTTATCCACAATATTTACACGAAGAAACTACTATGGAGGATAACTGGAAAGGGATCAAAAAGCAGTAACTTCAACGTGTCAGGAGGTTGTGGACCCCAAGATGCATCATCATAAGGAATGGATCACTATCGAAACCTTGGGCAAGTATCAAGAAAGGAAAAAGAAGATGGCAATTAACAACAGCCGAATACACTGAGGCAAACAAGCAGGTGAAGAGGAGCGTTAAAGATGACAGACAGAAATACGTCGAAGACCAAGCGACGATAGCAGAAAGGGCTGCGAGAGGAAACATGAAACAGCTATATGACATAACGAAGAAACTGACGGAAATATAGTAACCCAGAGAGACCGATCAAGGACAAAAAAGGAAAGACTATCACTGAGATTCGAGGACAGAGGAACAGATGAGTGGAACACTTCGACGAACTCTTGAATAGGCCAACTCTACTGAATCCACCGGACATCGAAGCAACACACACACAGACCTTCCTAAAGATGTCTCTCCACCAACGATTGAAGAGATCAGGATGACAAGCCATCAGACAAATCAAGGGTGAGAACGCAGAAGGACCTAGAAATATACCAGCTGAAGCACTGAAGTCAAACATAGAAGTAACTGCGAGTATGCCTTACGTTCTGTTTAGGAAGATTTAGGAGGAAGAACAGATGCGGACAGACTGGGAAGAAAAATATCTCATCAAGATACCAAAGAAAGAAAATCTGAGCAAACGTGAGAACTACAGAGACATTACACTAATGTCAGTACATTCTCAACGGAGTGTTGCAGAACCGGATGAAGCATTCAGCAGACGCCCAACTTCTAGACCAACAGACTGAGTTCCGTGAGGGTCTATCGTTCACAGACCGAATTGCGACACTATGGATCATCGTTGAACAATCAATCGAATGAAATTCTTCACTATACATCAACTTCCTTGACTATGAGAAGGCGTCTGTCAGTGTGGATAGGAAAGCGTACCTTATGGAAACTTGTTCGACACTATGATGTACCTAAGAAGATCTTTAACATCATCCAGAATTCATACGACGGACTATAGTGCAAAGTGGTGCATGGAGGATAGCTGACAGATGCATTGCAAGTGAGGACCGGAGTCAATAAGGCTGCTCACTCTCCCTCTTTCTTCTTGTGGTTGACTAGATTATGAAGACTTCGACATCTGAGGGGAAGCATGGAATACAATGGACAGGTTGGATGCAAGTAGGCGATGTGGACTTCGCAGATGACCTAGATCTTCTATTCCATGCACACTAACAAATGCAGATGAAAACAAACAGTGTAGCAGCAGTCTCTGCATCAGTAGGCCTTAACATACATAAAGGGAAAAAGCAAGATCCTCAAATACAACACCGAGAACACCAATCAATCACACTTGGAGAAACTCTGGAAGAAGTGGAAACTTTTAAGTGTCTGGGTAGCATCATCCATGAACAAGGAGAATCCGATCCAGACGTAAAGGCGTGGATTGGCAAAGCAAGAGCAACACTCTTACGACTGAAAAATATATGCAACTCAAAACAACTGTCAGCCAAACACCAAAGTCAGAATCTCCAATACGAACGTGAAGATAGTTCTACTGTAAGGAGCTGAAACTTGAAGAACTACTACAATCATCTTCGAAAATGTACAAGCATTTATATACAGCTCTCTACGCAAGATATTCAATGTCCATTGGCCGGATGCCATCAGCAACAACCAACTGTGGGAGAGAACAAACCAATTTCCAGATGAAGAGGAAATTAAGAAAAAATGTCGAAGGTGGATAGGACGTACATTCCGAAAATCACCAAACTGCATCATGAGGCAAGCCCTCACTCAGAATCCTGAAGTGAAGAGAAAAACGGGTGGACCAGGGAACACATTGCGTCGGGAATTGGAAGCAGACATCAAATGAATTGATAGCAGATGGAAACAACTGTAAGATTGCCCATAACAGAGTTCGATGAAGAATGCTATGCTCCTCCACGAGAGATGACAGGTGTAAGTAATACGCTTAAGTGACGCAAAGCAATGAACTGTCACATAAAATAATAAGAAACACTCTGTAAGGTACTTTTCTAAACTTGCCACCTGTTTTCAAATAGTAGGGACCCTTTCCGTTAAAGGTATTTCAATTTGAGAACTGAGTGTCATAGAAATAATCTCGTATGATGACTAGTCCTGACAGACGATTTAGGTTCAATGTTTAATGTCTTAATGAGACGTTACTGATAAGATCATATATGTACGTATGATCAACTGACGATTAAAAAACGACGTATAAGAACATTTAGTGCTAACTTAGAGGTACAAAAGTAGTTTTTGGGAAAAACACAAGACCAAACAGCCGCATATACAAGAGCTAATTTGTGACAAATAAGAGATTTCGTAAGCACTGAGATCGTACAGATATCCATAAAATTAATAACATAAGAAATTCAAAAACAGAGGCAGCCAAACCGTAGTAAGTTTATGAAAGTGAATAAATGCATTTATTATACTTAATACACCATGTAATTTCTACGTAACAATTCTTGATATATAGTAAAAATACTGGATAATTCTGTTGATTATGACCGACGCTACTGAAAACAAGTTAGTCAGCTGCAACAAGAGTAGTTCAAAGTCTGAAAATTTATTTGACAAGGAGCTTATCAAACCATTTAGTGAATAATACTATCATGCTTGATTACAGTCAGGAATTTTCAGCACAAAATCTGTAATATAGCAACAACCTCCCAATATATATATATATATATATATATATATATATATATATATATATATATATATATAACTTGCAATTGCGGTTATTTGGGACTCATCCTTGTTTCTGACAAGCTCCGCTCGTATGATGACGCTTTTAGAGCACAAAACATTTCAGGTGCAATTATGCACCCCGATGTTTTTTTTCAAAAGGAAAGACCAAAGGGAAAATATACCAAAGGCCTTAATGGTTGAGTTTGAATTTTGCAGCAACGAGCTTTGCAATAGGCTGAAAGTCTCTTATGAAACCGCATATGTGTGATTAATGTATGTAATTATTCAGTCAAAAAAGTCAAAATGTTAAATTTTATTGACGCTTGCATATTCGGAAAATAGGTGGCCAGACCCCGTTTTAGGTAGTAAAGTCTGATAATAGTCGGTTACTAACAATAATAAAGCAATATAGAGGTAACTTGATGATTAAGATCGTCGTCGAGTATACAATGATTTTGTAATGACGAAGTGGTAGGAAATTATGATTAATCATTTTATCATTATCATTATTATTATTACTGGTGGTCATTCTATATCTAACTCACAGTCAAAAAAAGCTTGTTGGACTTGTAAAAAACATTATGGTAGCAGATATGGGTGGGTACATCCACTAAATATACTGGAGACTATCATGTAGTTTTCTTTCCTTTGAAAGTTATAGTAAATAAAATTATTGACTAGACCATCAGTTCATAATATGACAGTGAACTCAGAAAAGCACTTATACTACATCAGTTTTTGTCCTTACAATCAATCTCTAGGATGATGAATTCACACTCCTTACTCTTTGGGTATTAAATAAAGAAAATCGGTCGGTTTTGATAATTGTGGATGACGATAAAGAAGAACATCACATCACAATAAACGACCAGAGTAGATGAAGCTGCTTGTAAGTTACCTCAACCGCTAACACTTTGATAAGGGACCAAACCAATCTACTATAAAGAACATGATTATTTGATGGGTTGAATGTTCTAATAATGTTAAGCTTACTGAATGATAAAAGAAATTACTTAACGACGTACCAGATCCAAATAAACCACCAGGTTTAAGGGCAGTTGAAGTTGTAGCCGCTGTATTCGCTCCAAATAAACTTGTTGTGCCGGCAGGTCGCAATCCACCAGCTGTGCCCAGTGGGGAGCCAAATGTAAACCCAGTTTGCTGCTGAGTCCCTTGCAAACCCGTTAATCCAGTTGTGGGAGCACCAAATACTGACGTTGCTCCGGCAGGTTTAGCTCCGCCAAAAATACCGGTAGACTGAAAGGTAGAGAATGCGGTTTAGAAAATTGATAAACGAAGGCTTTAGAAATCTAAGAGCTTTTATGCATACCGGTGATCCGAACATAAGACCTGTGCCGGTCGTTGGCTGGGTCCCAAAAAGCGAAGGCTTGGCAGCAGTTGATGCCTGATTTGACTGACCAAAAAAGCTAGTGGAAGTGCCTAATCCAGTAGCCTGTTGTTGTGGTTGGCCAAATGAAAATCCAGTATTCCCAAGTTGTGGTGTGGCTTGCGCGGTTCCAAAAAGAGAAGTACCAGTACCAGCAGCTGAAGTGGTGCCGAACAAGGGTTTCGCACCAAAAACAGAAGTTGCTGGAGAAATAAATTTGGAAAAAAATACTTATTAAATGGTATAGATATACGGGGGGATAGTTGCAGCGACTTAGAGACACAAATTCATGATCATCCTTAAATCTACTGAAATCGCTACAACCCAGTTAAACCTGTATTAGAATTGGAACTTGTATTTGTTATACAAGATAATGATATCTTCGTGGCATGAATTACATTTACAACCAGATTTTATTTAATCTACAGTCAACCACTTTTTTTAAATCTCGGAAGTGGTTTAGTAGCTGATCTTAATAAGATTCAATTGAAGACAAAATATGTGTAGATTTGATTTGACTTGATGCGTTTACACGAATCGATTATCATGTTCGATGTTAAAACCTTCGAATGAGATACTTTCGTCGCAGTGAATAATAAACTTTGACCCCAGGATTTATCAGGATTTTCTATTGATCAGTTTATAAAATGTATTCGGATAAATTTCCTAAAAATAAGATTTATAGTGACCTGGTCACAAAGGTTTTGATTTATTACAGAACGAAGTCCGATCTATTGTTTTCCACTGAATCTAAATTTTTCTCCATTGCCAGGATCTCTTTAAATTAAACAGGTAGAGGTAACAGACTGTTCCTGTAGTTCCATAAACTTTACAGACTACTTTAAAGAGTAATCCAAAAGGTCTTTCAAAAAACTCCAGAAAAACACATGAGAGATAAATGCTTAACTATGCCAGGATAATTGTATTCACATATCAAGTAAAACTGTCCAATTATTTTGTATATTTCATACCACTTCCTTAAGTACACTAATCATACAGAACAAGTGTCCCCCTGGTGTAATTCTGCTGTACAATAAGAGCTTGAGCTTGTGAATAGAAAACTCGGGAAAACCAGGCTGGTTTTAGACCTGGACGTGAGTGTATGGAGCAAATATTCACTCTTCAGCAGGTTCCAGAACACTGACATACTTTTCGACGGCTCACTACTGTTCTATTCCTTGACCTTAAGGTGGCGTTAGACTCTGTTGATCGTAAATCCATCTAGCAATGTCCGTCACTGAAAGGAGTGTCGAAGAAGTGCATTAACTTTGTACAGGTTCTTTACTCGAACACTACTGGTCAAGTTAAAATTTATGACGAAATGTTGTCGGAATCGGTTACTTCAAGTGGGATTCGTCAAGATTGCAGTGCAACAATGCAAACATATTTGGGGTGCGGTTCTCTTCCTCCGAATGTAGGATGTTATTTCAGGACTGGTTTGCGTCATCGCCTGAATAATTAATGATACAGAGTAAAGTAGTTGAATGCATTGACCGCTCAACTTATCTCGAGAGTCTCATCGTTTCTGACTGCTTAGTGTCTGACGAAATTTCCACCAGCATTCAGAAGGTTCGATTGGCTTTTGCCAACTTGCATCACTTGTGGCGTTGGTGAGATATTCGTCTACCAACAAAAGAATGAGTTTACTGCGTAGCAGTTCGTTTTGTTCCGCTTATGAATGTGAAACATGGCTATTAAGAGTAGAGAATATTCGTAGGTTACTGATATTCCATCACGGATATCTAAGAAGCATTACTTGTGTGTTTTGGATAAGGAATGTCTAGGTTACGAATGGAGTACTAGTTAAGGATGGGAAATCGATAGATGAGGTAGTAGATTATCAACTGAGGTAGTTGGGACATGCGTTACTTATTTCCAACCACCGCCTACCTTGATGGTGTAACAGTAGACTGGGAGAAGGCTAAGACAGGCCAAACCAAAACACGGCATCACTCGATGAAGTCATTGACGATTGGACTTGACTATGTTAGTTGATGTAGATTAACTGGTTGGGGTCCGTGTGATTACCGTAACCAACGGTTAGAGACTTTGAATGACATAGCTCGAAATGGTTTACAATGGCGCAGGCGCATCCATTATTTTACTTCTTAAAAGTCTAGGACTCTAAATTCCTCATAACGTTTTCGTTTTTATCTCGCTAATTTATATTTTCTGATTGTTTTTTCGATCCCTAATCTCTCCTATTATCACTGATACTGTTACCACCTCCACTATTCTGGTATTTGTCCTGACACTTTTACGCTTCTGTACCAACGGGGTATATCAACTTGAACCGATTTACATAAGTACCAGGTTCTACATTGTGACTAACTGACGAACTTACTTTGATTTGTTTGACCAAAGGCAAACCCAGATGATTGCGACGCGGGAGTCGAACCAAATATACTTGGAGTAGTTGCAGCGCCGAATTGAGGTTTCAAACCCAAAAGACCTCCTAGATTAAAAATATAAAATTATATCAAGAAAATTAACTTGCTATAATAACAGATTTTTAACGAGATAGAAAAAAAATCAATGGATCCTAAAGTATAAATGAAGTGATGATACCATATAATAGTTAGTACTAACTGAACTTATTCCTTGTGATAAATTGTAGTTACTCCCAAACAGCAACATCATACTGTGGTATAATGATAGCTAATTTTAAAAATTTGCAATGATTAATAGCCGTAGTTCAAAAAAGCCAATTCACGTTATAACATTAGGGGAAAGATGAGTTACGGTAAGTAACTACACGCAAGCCAGAAAAAGAATAACATACAATTGTCTCAAAAACGCGTATGTAGAGTCAGATTGAGATCTAATACCTAAAGACAAGTAAGTATACATACTATTATTTTGATTAAGACTGACATCATTGTTGTTAGTAGAATCAACTATACTTTTGTCATGTAGATACCACAGAATACTCAATGTAATCGTTCTATACACATTTGCTTGTGAAACAAATGAAACAGTAACAACTAATGTGATTAGAAAATTGGTGGGGTCACAGAAAATCTAAAGCGATAAATTCATGCCAATCATTGAACGTGGGTTTGTGTTAACTAAGTCACACCTTTTGTGACAATAACAAAACTAATTATGTAGTTAGGTTATAAATGGTTGAATTGAAAGTATTAGTTCCGCTGGAATATTACTCTCTTCTTAACAGAGAAAATAACTCTAGTGAAAGGAAGATATCATTAGGGAGTTTTGCATAAACAAAAAACAAATACACAGAAAACACATGTGATAATAGAGTACATGACAGGTTTAGAAATAAGTCGATGACTACTTCGCATTGGGAATTGCAACCAGGAAAAACCAATAATTTTTAAGCAACAATAATTTGTAGTACCTTGGGAAGTTTGTCCAAAGGCTGATTGAGTCCCTGTACCTCCGAAAAGCATACTATTGCTGCTACTGACACCACTGGCTGAAGCACCAAACAAAGTGTTTGCAGGTTTACTAGTCTGACCAAAAATAGATGTTGATGTATTTATTTGAGGTGATCCGAATTGAAACGGTTTCGCAGTCGATGAGGAGGCAAAGATTGAAGTCCCACCAGATGATGTTGATGGACCACGGCGATTCAAAGAATAATCCTCTAGGCGAAGTTCCTACAAATCAAAAACCGTACATTATTTATTAGAATATACATTACTACTGTTATAATGGCACCAAAATAAATATGCACCATATAAGAAAGGAAATCAAATTGTGAAGAGACAGGTAGGAAAGGAAATTCTTGCAGTTAATATACATGAGCAAAATCAGAACTAGTACTATTACTAACAATAGCTTGTTTGAGCAATGGCACCTTCCAAATCTTGCTTGGCATAGAGAATCGACAGTGCGATGTGACACCCTAAAGTTTATGCAACTGGCTGTCTCCATGACTAATTTGTGTTACAGTCATAGAACCTATGGTCGGAACTTTCCTCAACTTACTTTTATTTGTTTTGTTTACTGCACACAAATACTGATACAAATGGACACCGAAACATAATACACTGCACAAATAAGGGAGTGGAATTGTGAAGAGTATGATCAAGAAAAATAAATGAATAAAACGCGAATGAGAATAGTTAACAATGAGGTACAATTTAGTTGGAAATACAACCAAGAAAGACCAATTTCAGTGAAATAAGTTCGTCTGGCTCTTATGAAGAATGTAAAAGATAATTACAGAAATTTTTCGATCCGTTTGTTTTGAACCATTTCTAGTAACATCCCAAGACATTGAGTTGAATAACTTTTAGGATCCCAAACAGGGAGTTGCAATGGAATGCCAGATACCAGTACTACCAAGGCACCAGGTCAAAAACAAGCCATCTCGGTGTTTTATTTAGCTAGTCCGCATTAGTAATACGAAATTCCCCAGGATTATATTCGAAACACATGTCCAAGTCCATGAAGTCGCTGTAGCGATAATTGGATCATAGTCACTGAATCCGAAAACATGTCGCCGAACTCTTTCATTGCTAACATGGTGCTGCCACTGAATGTGGCTAACCCTTCAGAGACAACGCTGATTAAACAGTCATAAAACATACTCAAGTCTGAAGCAACGTTTCCTAAAAATGGATTAAAACTGTTCTCACCTGATCTTTTAGAGTCATATAAATATCATGACGGACCCAAAGACAAAACAAATAGGTATAAGCCACTTTGGTTTCAAATATATGTAGATTGATTCCCTCAATCACTCCACCACTACCATTCACACTACCCAGAAACGTGGACTTTTCGATTACTTCTAACGGATTACAACTGAGAGTGAACGCGGCTCAGGCTCTTGTCAGTCTTCTAAAGGTACTTTACACTTATGTGTGAAGTACATGCCACACTTCCAAATACTGGATGCCAATAAACTAAGTGCTGATTGAATAGTTTGAGTATTACTGCATGGTAAGATGACATCTGAATACTCAAGATTGGAACGTGTTTCTCCAGGTAGCAGATCCACACTGTCACTACCTGCTCTCATGATAGCTGGTTCCAGGATGTTGCCAATGACAAAATTAAACAGAAATTGTGAGATTGGGCAACCCTTTGTAACCATGCTGATGGAATGGAAAGATGAAGGTAGTTGTATGCTCTCACTGTGTTTGTGCAAAATATGACCTTTGATATTAGTTAAACTCTTAATAACACTTATAGGTAAATATAGACACTCCCAAATAACGGAAGCAAAGATACTTATGGTTTGGAAGTTGTGGAATTCACTCCCCATACATCAAATACATATATGATAGACTGAAAAAGTAAGCAGAAATAATGGTTTTTAAACGTAGATGTATTATATAAATTTGCAGTGACGCCTAGTTAATATTACCCGAAAATCACGTAGACCAATAAATAATATACAATGAGATTAAAATAACCGAATAGGCTTAAACGGTGCAGAGCTTTTATAAGTCCACTTAATAGTTTTGCATTCAATTACCTCTAGGCTTTTATCCTGATACTCTTTCATAGCGGTGATGCACATATGTTTCGCATTTACTTGCGAAGGCTGGCCACCCCGTTGCATTATTTCGGTTGTAATGGGTGGGTTAAATGCAAGTGATGTTCCATTGGAGGTCATACTTGTGGAACCCCAGGACAGCGCATTCATCTGGTTCCCAGTGAACAGTTTATTTGTTCCACCGAGGCCACCTGACTGTTGACCAAACAGGCTTGAGGTAGGCTGTGTTTGGGGATTTGATGTGGCTCCAAACAGCGAAGAACCTAAGGAGAATTAATAATAACATTAAGGTACTTACTTTGCCCGAAAGCAGAGCTGGAAGTGGCACCGAAGGCAGCTGTAGAGACAAACTTAAGTAGATTATTCACAAAACTTACGCTTATTTGCTCCAAACATTGTGAAGGGTTGATTTCCACGCAATCAGAAATATTAAAGTCTGAAAAGAGAAATATATGATGCAGTTGAAAAAGACCGAAGGAAAAGGAAACAAGGTAACCTAAGAGTTATTTGATTTCTGCAATTGGAATTTTAATGACAATTCAATCAAAAACTAGTAACTGAGTATCGAAGCCTCTCGAAGAATTTTCCATGAGAATGCGATTAACAGACGAACTCTGAGCGACGCCAGAGTGACTCTAACTAAACCTACCAACTTACTCAGATCTAAAGACTGTTAAAAACTGTTGTGAGAAATCAAAATCAGGATTTCGAGTCAGAAGTGAGAGTCAGGGTTTTGATTACGAAATGACATGAAAATAATACCAAAATGCCATTTAAGACACGGCGAATAAGTCAAACCCTTTCAAAATCGCCCGCCGTCAGGTTTCAACGACCTTGAACGACCTGACAGGCGGTAATTACGCATTTCAAATGGTGCAAATGTTTGAGGACGGAATAAAAGAAGCTTTCGCTTAACATGTTTCCGTGTCTAATGGCAGTGGATCACCAATACCTCCAGGCAATAGCCTAGGTATATTAACGATAATAGAGAAGAAAAAAGAATTTGGTCAAAATAATATGTTATTCTTAGTCCTTGAGAATAGGTGAAGTTTCCTCCTAAAGGACTCCTAGGAAGTTTCTTGGACTAGCGCAGTAGAAGTTGTGTCTACAGTCCGTTCTGCTATATTGAGTCTCCAGTTTCTGGGTGTTACCCCTTAGGTTTGAATTGGGACTAACTCTAAGTAGGTGTTTAAAGAGATGACCAGAAACGATAAGGATACTGTAAGCCACTAGGTCACCTCTAAGACGCCTATACTATAGTGGGTAAAGGTTAAGTGATTGGAGGCGCTCTTCATAAGGTTTGAGTTTGAGTCCTCGAACTGATTTCGACGTTGGTTACGTTCCAGAGTCTCCTTATCCTTTTTGAGAAAGGGAGGAAATACTATTTTTCCGTACTCTAAATAGGGACGAATAAAATTGTTGAAGGTTACGTAGAAAGTTCTACCATCAAACTATCCAAAAATGAGCTTTCATGTTACTAGTGAAAGGTTGGCTCGAAAGGCATTTTTGTCACAGTTAACGTAATACTTCAAATCGTAGTGTACAAGCACTCCTAAATCTTTTTCGACTTTAGCTTCCTCTAGAGAGGGGCTTCCTGAATTTTCACATCGTCAGCAAAAAGTATTAGGTCGAATGATGCCTGCAGTGGAAGGTCGCTTATATAAATCAAGCAGAGCAGAGGTCCTAGTAATGAACCCTGGGGGACCCCACTGGGACATTCCATTGAAGATACGACGGATATTCTAGTTTTACAGCTAGCTACCAGTAGCACCTTCTATATTCGATCGTTCCCAATCAAATCGAAATCAGAAGTCGGACGAGAAGAGACAGGAAAGATATATTTGATACGTTACCAATAAATCGAGAGACTTCGTTCTTAACTGGCTATTGTAACGTAGGGGCTGTGTCCCACGCCGTGTTGCAACGGGATCTGGTGCGGATGCGTGACCGAAAGCCTACAGTTAAACAAGTCCACTTAAACATCGTGGTCAGCATCCAATGTCGAACACTTAGAAAGCTATTGATTTTGGGGGATTATTTACAGCTACACCATAACCTGAGAGAAAGTGAAGTTGACCCTAATTTGAAAATGTTTTTTTTTGAGGGTTTGTTGAGTGTCCGTTGCGTTGTACGAATATCAGGTTTTCTCATATGTAAGTGGTCTTTTGCTCTAGCGAAACCACAAAATAATTGCGGAAAACATTGATTTAGATCTCTTTGTCTTGTACTTTACATGTCGGAGCGGTTGATGCTTCGTTACTTCCCAATCCGGAGAAAACTTCTTCCGGTTTGGGTGAATTTTGGAGATAATTTTAGTCGAGGGTGTCCTGTTATGTTTTTCTGGAAGCAAAATGAATTGCGAGCACATGCAACATGCATCGTGGATATATTGTGATTGTGCAATTCTGAAAAACAACAAATCAATGGTGAAACAAACGATTGAACTGCATTATCAGTATCAAGTTCAATAAATAAATGAAATAGCGGCTGACAGGATATACTTATAAGTGTCTCCCTTGTTGTAAACAGTGATCTTCATTCTCTAAACCGCCTAGAATTTTATATAGTTATTTTGTGTTACCAAACAAAATGCAGGCACCAAATACACGGATTCAAAAACGTTAATTAGTAATATGAAATCTAAGAGAAATCCAATTACAACGTTCTTAATGCTATTACCAATTCACCGCCAACATACAATAATGAAATAACTGGTAAGCACTATTTAGATATTACTCGTCAATATGCATTGAAACTTTGTTTATCATTTTCTTAGTGATTTCGGATTCTGTTAACAAAAATTCACTTGTTAACCCTATTAAAGACACATCACAAACTAGTTTTAACTACGACATGGTTAAGCTACCATGTTCAAAACAAACACACATTGCTCTACTTATGAGGAATATTTCACGAATTTATGTGGCACTTACAATAATGTTATATACAATTCCTGTAAATGTCCAGAAATCGGGCACAAAAATCTATCAACGTTGATCGTTATTCATATATTTGTTCTTTCTCAAATACCTTATATGATTTAGCGGTAAATAAATTCACAAAAACAATATCTCTGTAAGTGTTCGACATTGGATGCTGACCACATTAGTTTTAGTGGACTAAACCATCTGAAGGCGCTCGGTCATGCATCCGTATCAGATCACGAGTGGGAAAGCCGTGCTCAACGTCCCCTGGAATCACTGACCAGTGTAGATCAGTTTATTCTCAATATATCGGTAGCCTATCCAATATATCCTCCGACACCCTCGCTTCTGACTTTTGATGTGGGTGTGATTCATAGTAGAAGGCATTACTCGTTTGAACATTGTCGAATTCTGAATACCTGTAACGTCTTCATTGGTGAGCCCAATGTGACCTGTGCACCGTCGTGCGAATTGTGAGTCTGTTCGTTTTTGGGATTTTATATATCATTGATATACTTTTATTTTTATATATTGTGATTTTTTTCGTGTTTTTTGATATATATAGTACCTCGTACATTCTTGTAATTGCTTTGTGAACATTACGGGACAGACGCTTAAGGTATCAAAGTTAAAGACCATGATTCCACTTTTATTTCAACTGATGCTTTTCTGGCGAGACAACATCGAGGCTGCTATGCAGAAGCCGACTTCAACGAGCACGACGTGATCGACACACGTGCACAATTCCTCGCAGCGGCCAAGGCACTACCGTGCGAATTCAACAGACACGTCACACTTAGTATGTTCACTAGTGATGTTTCGGAACTCTTCGAGACACTTCAACTATCTATCCTTAAAAAGGGAATTCTAACCGATCAACAAAAGTTAAATCAGCTCCTTACTAATATCGACCTGTAACATGGTTCTGCGACAGATATGTCTCCAAGAATGAGAGAGCATATCGGCCAAAGAATTCTCGATAATGGCCTATCCAAACAACTTTTCATATACAAACTTCCTCAACAGGTGCAAGCCAAGCTGGCCTCGTTTCAAAACAACGCCGTTGACGAACTGGCTGAATCTGCCGACCACATCACATAAATTACGAAATCTTCTAACGCCGAAGTTTTTTCAGTCAATGAAAAACCTAAAAACGACTGAGAATGATATCACGGAATTATGTCATTCACCTACACGTTATCGCCACCCGCTGTTTCACATTCACGATTTGACAGTTACATAGAAAAGTGCAGTTGTCTTTTCGAAGACCGACTTGGTTAAATCCTTTGATCAAATCCCTATGGCTACTGACGTTATTCCAAGAACCGCTGTCATAACTCCCTTTGAACCCTAGGAATTTTCGCGAATGTCTTTCAGTTTGAGAAATGCTGCCCAGACTTTCCAGAAGTTAATAGATGACGTTTATCGAGGTCCCAACTTCGTACATGCGAATGTTGATGGCTGATTGATTGCAACTTCGAACAGAGAATCTCATCCCCAGAACCTGCACCTTGTTTTCGAATGACTACAAAAGCACAGCAATACTATGAACATTCAGAAGTGTCAAATCGGAACCGACCCCCTAGATTCCCTCGGACACACTATTGATGCTCATGGTATCCGACATCTGGGGAGCGAAGTGGTGGCCGTTCTGGATCACCCAGAACCGATCACAATTAAGCGATTGCTCACGTTTAACGGCCCTGTATGTTTCTATAGACGGTTCGTACCAAATTGCGCGTCCCTTATGAGAAATTATAACCGACCAACTTAGTGAGAATGAGAAATCCATCAATTTGGACGATACCACGAGAAAAGCATTTTGCGTTATTAAAGAATTTGTCACAAAAGCAATCATGCTTGCACAGCAAGATACCCAATCACCCATTAGTATCGTGGTAGACGCATCCGACTCAGCAATCGGAGGAGTCTCACAACAGTGGGTTAACCACTCCTGGCAACTTCGGCATCTTTCTGGACGCGGTTGCAAGATACTGAGTCGAGGTATAACACTTTCGGTAGGGAACTCCTAGTTATGTGTTGTGCTGTACGGCATTTTCAACACTCCATCGAAGGCCGAGAGTTTACCTGTTTTAACGACCATAAAACCCTTACTTTCTCTTTAGGCTCATCCTCAGACAAGTACTCACTTCGAGAGTCTCAACAACTGGGCTACATTTCGCAGTTTACTTCAGATGTCCTTATGTCTCAATTTAATGACCAATTTGACGTTTCCAATTTGTGTTATCTCATATCTCACTCTTCCATTATTATATGTTAGTATTTGGGGATACACATTGACCTATAATTTTTGGCATCCCATGATGTGACTTTGACTTACATATTATGTATGATACATATCCCTTCTGCTTTTCAATTAAGAATACACAAGGCAGTGGTTCCAGTTATCCGATTAATATGCATTGATATGTGTAATTAACACATACGATTCATCGAGGCTTTATTCACATGCAAAACAATCAAGTGAAAAATATGCATCTGCCTCATACTCATTACGATAATCTTGATCTTGATTTGGATTCTCTGTCTGTGCAAACTCCATATCTGAGCAAACTGGTTCTCTGATTGCTTCAGGAAAGCTTGCTATTCCCTCTGATTCATCATACAACTAAGTAGGGATTCTACTCAACGTACAGTGTTCGTGGGAATATCAAACATCTGATACAATTACATCAGAAATGTGACTAGAATCCGACACATTAGGAACATATTCCTTACGTTCATCATGGATATCATTACAGAAAAATCTACTGTGTGAACAAATGACATCTGATGCGACCCCATAAGTACTGTAATCAGATTTTAACCCACTTATAACTCGTTCCACATATTTGATTAGGATTTCACTAGAAATGGATGAGCCATTAGGACAAACCACATTTAATACAGTAACACAGAAGTTCTGATCAGGATTTG